ACGGTGATAACACGGAGTCTGCTGCGGCTACGGCGGCCCAAAGTGCGCTTAGTGAAAATGAAACGCAATCTGTAAAAAGTAAAACGCCAATTAAATTGACTTATAAGGTCCTAGTTGAAAGATAGAAAAGCTACAAAACACAAGGAAAGATAGATTAAATAAGGTAAAGCCAATTAGAAAAATAATTCAAGAGTTTATACAAAGCCATTGTGTGGAGTGAAATCAGAACTTAAAAAAATGGTTGGTTGTGTTGCCATTTATGCCCCCTGAAGAAAGGGATAAACAATAAACATGATTTGCTGCAAAAATACTTGTGGAAAAAGGATTCATTTCTGAAGTTGAAAATTGGTTGATAAACAATGATGATGTGGTTGATGGTGTTAACCCTGATGTTCACCCTTGTTAACCCTGATGATGTTACTCCTGCTGACATGTGACTTGGACTAACTGTTTCATTTACACGTGGGAAACAAGTCGGCACAGAAGATGCTTCAACTGTATACCTGGTTATTGTATCCCTCAGTGGTTCTTGGGATAATTTTGGCAGGTGAAATTCAGTCACTACAGTAGGGATGAAATGATGTTGTGGACTTTGTTACTCAGAATGATACAAATAAACATATTCTAGTTGACTTTGTCTGTTATAGATTACACAGCCCCATCTTTATTGGTTTCTACATAATCATTGTTGTGAAACGTCTTGTAAAAATGTACTCTCTCACATACCAACATACAAGGATGAAACGAGGTTCAGACACAGATCTGTAAATGTCAAATATTAAAGCTACTCTAGCTGTTTGTGTCCTGATCCAGGTGCAGCTGGAAAAGCTTATAAAAGGAAGTGGAAGCATGAAGGTAGAGAGGGTTGGGGTGCTTGTTGCAAAGAAGTGATAAAATACACTACGCTCATAAACTAACTCAACTTCTTCTCCACAATGAAAAAAGTAAGAAGGATGTTAAATGTCCAATGATCCACTTAAAACAGTTTCATTATGTCATTGTTTCATTAAAAGACAGAGGCTACTTTAGTCTGAGTTTGCTATGAAAGTCTTATTTAGCTTTTTAGCGTCTTGTCTTCATTATGAAAAAAGGGTTATTGTTGAACATTTATGGTAATACTTTTTGTTAACAAAGTTAACACTGCTGCATCAAACTTTTAAGAAAGTAGTATGAGGGGGTTCATATTGAACATGGGGCCTCGCTCCTAAATTAAAAGAGACGTACCGTATAACCTTTCTCTTACCAGCAGAGTCTACCAGGTCAGCAGATGCAAAGGCAGAGTCTAAAGCATTGATAATGTCAAACTAATTGATTGGGTTTTCATCCAGAACAGTTTGTCCAGTAATCTTCTTTATTTCCCACACTTTTAAACATCATAGGAAAGTTTCTGTCATCTTTGCGTCAGTGACCAAAGACATCAACCGCTTTGTTTTGGCATCCATTTGCTATGACATCGCCATCTCTCCAAATATGAGCTATGCATTCTGCAAGTCAATGTTGGTGTTGTTGTCGATGACTTAAGCCTGAAATAGCTTTCTCCAAACCACTGAGCCTATATAGCTAACTCCCTCCATGATACATTTAGGACTCCCTGGCAAAATGCACAGACCTGCTGGTGCTGATGACTTAGTATGAGCTTGTGGCTGTTGTAAACGTAGAGGAGCATAGACCTGACCTAATCAGACCTGCTCTAAGGATCGGCCTGCAGGAACTGCCCTTTATCACCTCTAGCTTTTTGGGTCAGTATCTGTCTGATACCTTGATCAGGTCAGTGCATCCCTATTAGGTAGTATAAAAATAATAGTAAGTTAAGTTGCTCACCATCTCCTTCTCATTCAATATGGTTTAGAGAATTTGGTTCAGCTTGTCAAACCAGGGGAATGAGTCTCTCTCATTACTGAAAGCCAAGCTGCTCTCCTTCCTTTGCATACTGCTGTCAGAGTGTATTGGCCTTCGGGCAGGACAGCTCAGCATAGCTCTAAAAGCCCCTATCATTCACATACTGACTCATAAGCTTATAAACTTCTGCATTTTAGTGAGTGGTGTCCAACATTTTACTAATGCAGCCATCTGCCCAAATGCCAATGAGGCGTTTGACCCCTGCACTGCTCCAAATCAACCCACTCATTTTGGTAGAAGGTTAACTTGCCAATGTTAGTTGGCACCTAGGTGAAAGCTTTCCACATATGAAGAGTGACCAGTAAACATGATACTTGTCCATATGCAGTGGAAAGAAAAAGCTGTGAGATGATGATTAAAGGTGGTGTTTGCAATGCAACATAAGAATATTGTGGACTCGAGAGAAAAATGCAAAAGTCAATCATTTTATCATCAGAATGTGAAAAAGCAACCTGTTGTTGAAACTAGACAGAGCCTCCTTTAACAATTAGCTGTCATGGTAAATGTTTTTACACAAATTGTCCCTAGCTTTCAAAGTTTTATTGTTTAGACTCTCAACTTTTACTTCATGGCTATCCTATTCAGTCATCTATCATACTGCAAATCTCTATTTTGATTATTAGTACCAATGATTTAGTCATAAATTTTGATTTTGATGGCATCACAAAGTTAGTAGACTGAAAAAAGATCAGAATTTGTTTTTAAAAGAGCTCCTGATTTCTAAGTCTAGAAGTACATAGATGATAATCACATGCAAAATAGGTATCCTTATCAGCAGAGCAACAAACTCGCTTGCTATTCCCTCCTCCTCCTAGTTACAGCAAGAAGAGGGAGGGGAAAGTCTTCTGTAATCTTAACATCAGTTGTCAGTCATAAGACATCAAACCCAGCAACATATCAGATACAGTATAGTTTAAAATCAAAAAGATGGTTTAGTCTGTCTGATTTGTGTACAAATGTCAAAATAAAGTAGACTACGCAGTTATCCAAGGCAGCAGATTTAAAATATAAATCACACACACACACACACACACACACACACACACACACACACACACACACACACACACACACACACACACACACACACACGTATAAATATATATCACACAGTGGAGCAGAGACTCCTTTTATTCTGCAGTGTGAAATCTCTGAGGTGGACAAAGGGGGTGAGGAGAGCAATCCCATTAATGTCAGAGTGTGTACCAAGGAGAGCTAGAGGGCAACAACAGCTTCCCCACTGCACTGATTTGACTATGGAGGATTTGTCAAAGACAAGTAGCTCCTTGTGAAATAATATGCTTCCGACTGTGCGACTCGTGCTTGTCATTTGGCAGAACCGCCGTCTACATCACAGCCCGGCAGGATGCTGACATTCACACCACGGAGTGAGTGTGATCAGCTCTCACCCAGGCAGATGAAAAGTGGTTTATATAGAAACTGAGAGGCAGAATCATATGGTTGCACCTGGTGACAGACTATGGTGAGAAGTGAGCCATATTAAACCCAACAACTCCTGAGTAACAAGCACCTTTTTTTCGCTTCCTTCGTGATCTAAACATCTTTGAATCAGACACTTTCAGAGATTTTTCATGCTACATTTTGTCTAACCCACGTCTGAGTCACAACGCGGTAAATCAGAGTCCTTTTTATAAATCATCAACAGTTTGTTGCACTAGCTGTGCCTTTCAACATCCCAAGGAGTCAGTTCAAAGGGGGACTGGAGAGCACACATTGACTCATGTCCTCTTTGTCTAGTGCTCTGGCCTTGATGAAAGTGAAGGATCATTAAGTTGCTAACAACAGGAGAGGAGAGACAAGAGTGGCCGCACATATCACAGTCTAACAACCATTATCTCCTCCACAACTGCTGTAATGCTCTGCAGTGTGACTCTGATTGTAAAGGCGTACAGCTGGGCTCACATCACTGGACAGTACTGAGAGGTCTACAGTCTTATTTTTAGAGAGGCTGCAATAATGAGTCAACAAAAAGGAAGGGATGACTAATTTAGCTGTAGACTAAGTTATATGAGTCTTTGCAGTAAACAGTAGGAATAGAAAAGTAGGAATTTATCACAGTGGGAGGATCATTTTATGTAAACAAGTAGTTTTTCGTACTCAAACAAGCATACATTTCAACCACAGGAAAGATGCACGTTATAGCCATAACCTCAGTTGATTTACTGCAGTAGCCTCTTATCACTCGGTGCCAACAAAATGGTTAAAAAAAGCTCTATGGTTTTCCTCTGGATTCAGGGTTAGGGATATGTTGATACCACAGACGTCGTGTAAGACACAGAAACCCCAGTACTAAACAATATTGTCACATATTGCATGTTATTCTCGTATTACACAGGGCCATTTCTTGGTCCCTTTCCCTCAAGTTTGTATGGCTGAAGTTTGTTAAATCAGAGATAACAGAAGAAGCCCACGAGGTAACTCCAAAATAATCCCCAATCACAGAGATGTATGATGCCAGAGGGCTTGGATACTCTGGTGGAGATACAGGGGGCAGTGTTATCTCACTCATGTATCCACACTTGATTCCTCTCTGCTGTCCTACAGCAGCACCTCAGAGGGCTGTTTGAGACCAGCCCTGCGTTTTATATCTGCAGTGTTACTACTTTGCTGTCGTGACTGTCCCTCAGCAGCTGAAAGGTCACTGTGAAGGCAGATTAATTTTCTGATTTACTGTTGCGAGTCTATAGTGTTGAATTACTAATTTGAAATCTCCTCTGATGCTGAGAGACTGATATAAGAACAAAATACCAAGGCTGTAACTATCTTTGATCTAATGGGAGTCTTTTGGGTTGGTCCACTGATAACTTTTTAGATTAATTGAGTAATTTTACTGGCTGAAATGCTAGAAAAGTATAAAACTATGCCCTTCACCTTCTTTTGGGGCTTCAAGATAAGTTTCTGCTTTCTCTGTACACAGAAATCTTCGATTTTTGACATAAAAAAGGCCATAAGCAGCAAATACTCTTTCTTGGAACTATCAAGTGAGAACATTATCCTCTGGATTAAATGGTTTATCCAAAGATTGAAAGCTGAAATATAAATCTACAGTAGATGTTTTATACATCACGACAAGAAACCTCCAAGCTCTTAACACCTCATTTTATTGTCCCAACATTCAAAAGTACAAATAATTCAAACACAACAGTTTTATGAAAAAGAAAAAACAAACATTTACAGCAAGATTTTTATTTTTGTTTCCAGTTTCAGAAATGACCTAAACTAGCAAGGATAACATGAAGTCATTCATCGCAGTAATTGGATTAATAATAAGAATAAGAATACTAAGAATAATAGTAATAATAATCATAATAATCATCATTGATAATTGTTAAGTAATAACATAAGCAGGAGAGAGTAGAGAGAGCCGCGGTCATGAGGCCCCGTGAACATTTTTTCGTCTTTTTTGTCTTTAAAGATTTCGTTTATAGATTTTTCAGATAGTAAACAAACACGTCTCAGGAGGAAAAAATGAAAACTGACAAGAAGAGCCGAGTTCCTCTGTTCACCTTCCCTCCTCCACTACTGGCTGCGTTGTTCCTACTGGCAGGCTGCCATTATAAGGCGCTACAGGGGATGGTGTGAGCCATAGGGGTCGGGCATAGAGCGAGGTGACGCAGCCCCATGTTTCAAACACCCTGACATGCAAACACTTTCACACACACACACGTGCACTCACACACACACACACACACACACATACACACCATTTGCTCAACCACGCTGGCTATCTCTGCCACATTCATTCAGGGAGACACACACATACATTTGTTTACTGTATATGTGCACTAAACAGACCCAAATGTACAGTCACACACAAATAATCACAAACACTTAACATATGAGTATACAGTGCATACACACACCTGGATGTACTCCACGCTTACAAACATATGGAGACAAACACACACACTGTTACAGAAAGAAACATGCACACAAACATGCATACATGCCCCGCGCACACGCACCCTTACACACACACACTCCTGCACACAGGGTCTAGGCGGAACACAGGCACGCATCGTAAGAGTTCAAAAGTCACACGGAGTAGGAAATAAGTTCACACAACAGAACAACATTCTACTGGGGTCGTTGCATAATTCAAGCTCCCGACGGCGGCAGGGAGCATGACGGGGTCTGGTTGGTTGGTAGGTTGGTTGGTTGGTTGGTTGGTGGATGGGTGGGTTGGTGTATTGGTTGATTTGTTGCCATTATGACGTTAGAAAACTATGTGATAGGATGGCACAGATGATGACTGGTTAATAATGATGATAGCAGATGACCCGGCCTGTCAGATGACTGAGGTGTGAGAGAGGAGTGTGTACTTAATGCGAGCATGCCTCTGAGTGTTTATAATGCTCTCCACACACCTCCTTCATGTTTTCAAGTCTTAACAACAAACAACAAAAAAATCCAATTCTGTATACCTATACTTCTGGAACCATTCCCTTACATTTCACCTTTCAAAATATATAATATATATCATATTAGAGTATATAAAATATAGAGTCGGTACAATCCCTTTTCATACCTCCAGAGTACTTCTTTAAGTATAGCAACAACTGCTGTAAAGAGCAGTCGGTGTGCAATGGTAACAATTTCTCCTTTGTTAAAGATTTGTTGGTATGTCATTTGAAAACATGATGAATCTTTTTAAAAATAACTTTTTGACTCTTCAGTGATTTTTGACAGATTTAGTCCAGTGCAATGAATGACCCTCAAACAACAATGGGCATTTGCTCCTTTTATCCAAATGTGTATCTGCCCAAGCCTCCAAGAGCTGAATGTTCTAGAAAATGTTTCACTGAAAACTGAAAACTATGCTTTCAGACCCACATTTTTGCATAAAGGTTTCATCACAAAGCGGTAGTAAGTGGAGGGAGGGTGTGGACGGAGTGGCTTTTTAGAACTACACAAACTTATCACAGGTTATATTGAACCAGAACGACTGTTTATAACATTCTATTAAGACTAAACTTTATTGAAAAAGATCTAAAGATTTTAGTTTAACAAGACAAGAAAAAAGCAATAGCAAATTTAACTATTAACTAGGTTATGCATAGCGAGTAACTGTTTCTAGTAATAAGGGAAGAGCGTCCCCCAACCCTCCAGACATTTTTTTCAGTTTTCTTGACTTTTAGATTTTTTATATTGTAATTTTGATATATTGGTACAAAGCACAAACGTACTAAAAGTTCTCTCAGTGCAGTGGACTACTGGAAGAGCCTCTCCACTAGTCGCTTTGTTCCCTTTTGCTCAGAAACGCCCCCTCCCTGTACCAGAATCACGCAAGTACACAGACAATGAAACAAATAAATACATAAATACACAGATAAATCAATCAATTAATAAATATAGAATAAATATAAATAAATAGAAAAATAAATAGTTAAAAAATAGATAATTAAATAAACCAATACAGTTATATTCTAAGCTTTTGTTCGGTTTCTTTTGCCGCGGCAGCTAACTGAAAGTTAATCCAAATCTTTTTTTTTCTCCACAAGCAACATGACAACAATTGAACAGTTTCCTCACAAGTTTTTCTAAGTAACTGAACCACCACTTCATAATAAGTTGTCATATGAAAAAGACAAGCTCAAACAAAAGAACAGTGACAACTCATATAGTACAGTAGATATTGTAAAACAAATGTAGACTATATATGTATATATATATCATCTATTTGTACACAGCAAATAAAGACACAGTTGTCATAGATCCTTTTTAAGGAAACAAATATCTAGACTAACGGAACTAGCTAATCATCATTTAGTTTTGACAAACGTTTCACGCTCAGCAAATAACCTAAAAGTCAGCAAGCCAAACAGAAAAGTACAAAATAAAAGTTTGTTCAGTGATTCTTACAAGGCCCCTTTTTCAGTAATCTGGTTATTCAGCAAAGAAATAGTCTCACCAGATCTGTGGGCCAACAATAAACAAATATTAAACAAAGAACAGCAGCTCAAGTCAATGCCAACATCGAAGTATTTTTTTTCTTTAAACAACACATAGAACAACAAACTTGGATATTTAAGATATGTGAATAATGTAGTATAGCACCTACTGTTGATCGCTAAAAGGAAGTTCTTTTCAAATGTAAGTTCACAAACGCAGAGCAAAGAAAATGATATAGATAATGTATAGTATGCTCTTTAAATGGATAGATGTGTATATATCTATTTACTGAGATCCCATATCGACTGATGACAAAAACAGGAAAACAAGTGGACAAAGGTTCTTCTTGCTTTGGGCTCTGGACTATAAGGATGGTTAGGCCTCAGAAAGACCCCTTTCCCTTCCCTTTTGGGTATCGCTGTTGAATAATTACGCACTAGTACATATGTGAAAAATTACCAAAATCACCTGCCTCGATTTGCATCCATTTCACAAAACCTTCCATCTACAAAATCGCCGCCATCTTGGATTTCCCAAAAAACAAACGACCTTTGATCCTATAAAGTACCACGGCAGAACGACAAGACAAGGTGGTGCCCCCTCCCTCCCGCCCCGGCCCCCCCTAGTTAGCCAGTCAAAATATTTTTCTCTTTTTTCAAATCCAGATTCTTGTAAAAATTCTTCAATAATTATTATTTTAATTATCATTTATAAAAATAGATCTTCTTTCTCTTTATTTTTATCTTTTTCTAAACGCATTTTTTTTCAAGCAAAGAGATCTTCTCTTTGGCAACAGTGTTATTTTTTTTTCTTAAATTACTGAACGTGTCATCAGGAAAGCTAACCCATCCCCTCCCTCGCCCCATCTCCCTGAACCCCTGTGAGGAAAGACATTATGTTTTGTTTGCGATACAAAACAAAAACAATGTTAGAAATTCATTTTTTCTACATCAGAGTTACTGGGATCGCCGAATCCCATCATAATTGATTAGGGGAAGATTTTTATTACACACTAAAAATGAATGAATGGTTCACTAATTTAAAAAAGAGCCCCCTCCCTTACATTGACAGGGAGGTATATATATTATATATATATAAATATATATATATATATTTATATATATATATGTATATATAATACTAACGACAGTGGATCCGGATTTACAAAAGAAAAACAAATCCTGAATCAAGACAGAGAAAAGGTTTCAATCTAAAAAGGACATTCTCTTCTCTGAAATAAGGGGATACAGGGATTTGCTACTGTTTACACAGAAGAGAAAAATCATTTGAACAACCACAACAAACAGAAAGAATATACAACAAAGAGAAGCCTGCATTATCACAGAAGCTTCCGAAAAACTCATGAACATTTTCATCATTTCATTTTTGTAATACTTAGGCAACATTGGCTTATAGGTCCAAAGTTATGATATAAGCCATTTCTAGTTCAATTTGTTTGATGGTTTGTTGGTTGCTTTGTGTTCCAGTTGGAGTTTGAGTTTGCTGCGTTAGATGGCTGTTGTAGGGTGGTAGTGGTAGTGACTGAAGGGGGTAAGGGACAGGTGGAGGTGGAGGTGAAGGGGAAGGAGGTGGGTGGGGAGGTTGGGGCAATTTCGGGGCAGACAAAGTCGTGGGGCAACTGCATGTACCTGCTAGAGTTCAGGACTTGTGTGTCTTGTTAGTCTTGAAGGAGACTTGCAAGACACGATCGCCCAACCTGTAGCCGTTCAGACTTGCGATGGCCATGGCTGCCTCGTCGTAATTCGTCATGGTGACGAAGCCGAAGCCTTTGCACTTGTTGGTGTTGAAGTCACGGATCACCTTGACGTTGTTGACCGCACCAAAGGGCCCGAACAGCTGCCAGAGCACGCTTTCGTCTGAATCTGGGGACAGGTTGTACACAAAGATACACCACCCGGTGCCCGTGTGCCCAGGGATGTTCATGCCCACCAGGCTAGTCATGCTGTCGATGGTGATGGGGGAGAACCTGAAAAAGGGAGGCAGAGTGGGGAGATGGAGGGAGAGCGGACAGACAGGGGGAGAGACAAGAGCTAGTTTGAATTGAATAGGCAAAGACAGTGGAACTTTTTGTCTGCATCTAGTCAACAAGAAATGGCCTTAAACCAGTGAAATCCTAGCTATACCTCGGTGTTTGAGAGTGAAATGCACAAATAGAATACCTCCAATCAAATATCTTGCCTAGACTCTTACTTGCTAACCTTCTCCAGTCTGTAGCAGTTAAAAACCTAGCACAAAATATCACCTGTAAAGTGTTTACTTCTTAAACTACAGGACATTGTAGCCAAGCAAGGTGCAAAACTCAGATAAAAAGAATGCACATGTATGAAAATTTAATGTATGTGCACGTGTGTTCTTGTCTAATGCATGGGTTTGTATGAGTGCAAGTAAAGCTACGACTAAATCTTCCCCTTGCTCCTCAGTTCTGAAAGGCCTCCAATCAGGGGTGATGACAGTGTGGCATGCTGGGCTATATTTCAGTTGAAGGAGATGCAGCCGAAGGTTCTCTCTTTGTGTCCTTGAGTGGCTCCTTTAGGAGCTAAATTGCAGGAAGTTGTTGAATTAAACCATTGCTAGAAATCCATCAAAGATCATGCACCAGCCTGCTAAATCTGCTCTCATTCGCCTCATAATCTTCTCCTTTTTCTCGTGATGCAAGAGATTTGAATCCTCAGTTGACTTCACTTAATTGCCTTTCCGCTCAAAGGAAAAGGGAAAGGAAAAAAAGTATCCCGACTTTTAAATAAAAGGTAAATGAGATAAAAAGGTTCATTTTTTATGCCACCTCTCACCAAGAAACCACTATAGGCATTATTGGGTGTGCTTTAATTGAGATTTCCGCTTTGCTGCAGCTGTCTCAGAGAAGGGTGCCTTCTTAAGGGGAAGGGAGGGAGGGAAGAGGGAGCCAACTAAATGGAAAATGGAAGCACTTTACAGCCCAGTGGCATTAAGGTACAAAGTGTATTCCTCCCACTCCTCCTGCAGTCTGCAGGGTGTTCTATTCTGTTCTATTCCCAAGCTCGTGGCACTGATCGATAGCGCTGCTTGCTGCTCAGGGCCCCCGCCCGTCTCTCTCCTGCAACTATATATGGCTAGCAATCACTATGACCTTCCTGTGTGACTTTGGCCTTGTAGAGTTTACATCTGGCCACTACAGACATAAAGAAACTAAGGTGGTTAGCTCTATTGTGTTGAGTGTTATTTGCACTGAATGAAGTGAGTTAAGTACTAGAAAAGTAAGAATGAATATATTTGTAGATAGCTATTAGTAATTTTAAGATTATATACATTATGACATTGAAAGTCATTCTGATTAAGTTGCAGGAAGGTTTTTTGTAATCTCTCCAGGGCATGCTCTTGCAACAGAGAAATGTTTTGTAACAAACTTATTACCTTATAAAATCTGGTTGATCAATCAATGTATCTTTTAGCATTAAACAGGTAGACACCCTCCTAAGATTAAGAACTTTTCGGACATGCTCGGCAGCATTCAGGCCTCCCCTGCTAAGCTTACAAACAGGAAAAAACAAAACAAAAACAAAACTTGGTAATATTTTGTTTTCAAGCTTAGGTTGCTGCTGTGAGGATGTGAAGATAAGGTGTCTGTAAGCTCATGTGTGAGCATGTGTGTAAGCGTTCATGTCAGCGTACCCATCAGAGCAGGACCAAATACTACCCAATGTTACAGACGAGACCAGGGGTTGCATAGCAACAGTGTAGCTGACCAGATATCTATTCTGTCCTTTGTAAAAGCAACCATCTCCAGCCAGCTCTCAACACCTTTCTTCTGTTTCCTTTCAAATGCTTACCTCACTGAGACACACTTCTAACCTTGATGATGAGCTATACAGTCGTAACCACAGAATCACCTTCGAGAGTTATGTAAATACTCAGAGTGAGTATCACAGACGTTAAGAGTTAAACCTGTGACTACAGTCTAAATTCCTGCATTTGCCAATATCGAAGCTATTTTTGGAAACTTTCTTTGGGAACATTTCTCTCAAGATAAAATTTGCTCTCTGTTTGGGTGGCTAAGCCGCCTTCAGATGGTGTCCCCTGTGCTTGCAACATGCAAGATGTCACCATCAGCAGATGAAACATCTATCACTACAGTGGCTGCTGCTCTTGCTTATGTAACACCTATGGTAGCTCGAAAGCAAAAATGAAACATGGAGGCGAAAGGAAGGAATTTGAGCAGAGCAGTGCCGAGCAAAGCTGGAGCTGTCTGCAATGAAACAGCGTTTCCTGTTTCCAGCAGGGATCCAGGTTCATCCAGCCTTATCCATTGTCCTTGCTGAAAACTGCAGCATGTACTTGTGATGTATTTCCAATACAAATAGATGATTGTGTTTTTAGTTGATATCGGATGTAAGAAAATTTTATTCTAATAGTGTTGTAAGGAAATAACCTTTAATTCAACAAATGTGAGTTTTGTTGCTTAAAAAGTACTGTGCCCAAGCTAAAGCTGTCGTGTGACAGTGACAGGCAGGAGAACCTGAATCCGGTAGAAAAAAAAAACACACCTTGAAATTAGGAGTTTTACACCAGAGAAAAATCCATTCAGCACACAGAAAACAACCCAAAAACAATCCAAACAACACCAGCACTTTTCATAATCAAAACAAAGCAAATTCATCACCACTGAAAACAAGGACTAATTGTTTTCTTTTTTTCATTAAACATTTTAACTAGTTGGTAGAGGGTTTTCAAACCAACTCAAGATTACGTGAAAGAAAAACAGAAACAAAAAACAAAGATGCAGTTGACCTTGAACAAACTGTCAAACGCAAAGTGACTGCAAAAATACAAGGAAACAGAAACTAAGAAAAGAACAGAGCAAAAAAAAAAAAAAAAAAGATATTGAAAAATCATTGAGTCAACATGGACATCTGGCATTGGGTGAAGTTTTTAATTACCTCTTTACGCCATAGGCCATATTAAGCAAATTGTCCAGCCTGTAAAGAGAAGGAGGGTTCTGGGGTTAATGGTGGGCAGATGGTCGACTCACTCAATGGAACTAATGTTAAGTCCCTGCAGGAACTGCATGGTTCTCCTCACTCAAGAACAAACAAACCCATCTATAGTTGGCCCATTACACTGAGGAGCCCCACCACAAAATACTATCATCAGATAATGAAGCTACAGTACCATCAGTATGGCCAGCACTTGTTTGGTCAGCCACCGCTGCCCTTACTTGAGAAAAGACTTTAGCATAATGCTGCACTAGCTAACGCCAGAGCAGAGTGTTAAAGGCACATTGCTTAGAAAATTGATGCAACTGTAATTGTAATTCAAGACTACAGCAATGTACCGGTCACAGTTCAGTATTACAGTACGCATACAGAAGAATAGTGGTGGCAGGGTGGCAGCGTAGCATAGCATTGCTATACTAGAATGCTTTGCTAGCCATAGTGCAGCACTATGGTAAATCGTCAGTTTATTTGGGTGCAGGGAATTGCATGGGGTTATTCATACAATTCATGCCGCCACATTGATGAGTTCATCAGAAGATGGAGGGTAATAAAATTTCTTGTTATAAAGTTTTGTCAATGATTTGTGTTAACTCAATAGAGAGAACACATCTGGGATGACTGGAAATGATCCAGAGTTCTGTCAGTGTAATGGCTCGGCGTTTGAATGATGGTGAGCGAGAGAGGTGATGATGATTAGCATGTTTTCCATGAAGTGAACCAACAAAAGAACAAGTGAACATAAAACTAGCCATGAAAAAGTGGATGTTATTCGGTAGGGTGGAATGGCTGAGGTTTCTTTGTTTAAAGGTTATTCTGTGCTTACAGGATAATTTTAGCCCTCTAACTTCAGCCATCGTAGTCAGTAAGGGTAATCCAGTTTTTTTTAAGCGTGTGTGTGTTTAATAACCAAGTGAGTCTTGTGTGTGCGTCTGTGAGGCTTCAGAAACCTGTGGGCTGTATGAAATGTTGGCCCTCTTGGATGGATGCAGTCTGCTCTGTGACTCAATGACCTTCATTTGTCACTTGGGTCTGGCCTGTCTCATGTCTTATTAACTCCTCTGGCCTAATGGACAGAGGCCACGGCTTATTGAGCAACAGCTGGCTGGCGACACCTCGTTCCTCTTGAAAACACAACAAACTCTCCGACTTTGACTCCACCATCAGGGTTGTTTTTTTCAATAAACAAGCATCTGCTTTCTTAGAACACATCTTCTACACAGTATTTACCAATGCCTAAAGGTGACCAGTAAAAGTTTCTCAGGGATACTGAAAGTTTGGTATTTTTTACTGCAAAGTGATTTAGCTAACCCCTCTACAACTACACCATTTACAATAGATTTTCTTACCCCAAATACACACAAATTTATGTTCAATTGCAGTTCCAGAAAGCAGTCAAATTTGATTTCTCTTAAAGATAAATTGTAAAAAATAATCTTGTTTTATATGCTACTTCATATAAATTGTAACACATTTCAGAGAAAGACATCAGCAGTCTTAAACCATTTGCAGTTCAGCACCAGGAGACTGGATATTGTAATTAACAACCTGAAACATGACCTGTTCCACCTGTTTCATTCTGAGAATTCTGGTTTTCTTTGTTATATTATCAATTAAATTAAGAATTAAAACAAGCTATTTTAGACGTATGTTGGTTTATTTTTAATTGAAACATATTAAAACACACACTTATAGATTGTATAGCATTTGGCTGCCCAACTCTGTTGAGTGCAGAAACAATTTTCTTGTTGACACTGTAGAGTCAATGACCAGTGCATTCAGCATAGTCCACAATGTGCAGTGATTGTGCAGCCGTGTAGCTCTTCCTTAGCGTCTATTTTTGTAATGTTGGGTTTACAATCTTGCTAGCTAGTAGTGCATTGGCTGAACTCAGCCTGTGGTAGCATTGATAGTTGTGACTCCAGTAACAATTCTGATAGCATGTAAATTGCAAAGCTTTTGCAGGATTATAGTGTCATCTTCTTGGTAAAAATACTGCACCATAATTGAATAACTTTTCCTGCATTTTGTGGTTTATGGTTGTAGCAGTATTTAGGATGTAGCTCATTTTTGACATGGATAAAAAGTTGTTAAAGTGTGTCTTGTACACCATATTTCAAGGTACTAGATTCAGAAAATTGGATCACATTTCACATTTTTCTGTCAATTGTAGTCTCACATGTTTTCTATGTTTAAAGTATTCTCAAATTCTCTTTTTTAATATTACCAAACACTAAGACAGGAGCCTTAAAACAAAGAAAATAGGATACACAGACTCATTAAAGCTGTAATTAGCCCATTATGTAGGAGGGGTACAAGCAGGCTGCTTTGTGGGTAAATGAGTCAATTGGAGAGGATGCTCAGAGGAGAGGAGCTCTAGGCCTGGGAGCACGAAAGACATCTGCTGGCCGCCGGGCCGTTGGGTCCCAAACAAAACAACCTGCTGCTAACCCTCTCTCTCTCTCTCTCTCTCTCTCTCTCTCTCTCTCTCTCTTACACATGTACGAATGCACACTGATGCACACTCACCGCGCAAACACTCCAGCTTTTCACACCGCCTCTCCAAGCTCCATCTAAACAATAGGGCTTTTGTGTCTCCCTCAATGCATGTTAATGGAGGAAGGGGCGTTTTTGTCTTTTTGAAACGAAAATCTTTTCAATTAAAATTGTCTCCTGCCCTGGATATAATAGGGCTAATTTGCTAATTAGAACCATTAGTTAACGACAGAGGATCGGAAACGAGCCAGAATCTAGGGCTCGGTGTATTGTGTTAAAGTCAATTATGTCTGCTGTCTTAGAGAGATCATATAAGCTTATTAAATGTTTACTAGTGTTACATGTGATTTAGTCACACAGGATAGATATACTTATATAGCATGTAGCATGATAGCACTGTATCCTGCTCTGGATGTCACCTGTAAGTGGCACAATCTCAATATATCTAATGAACAATATTTTAAACAATAATCTAAACTGTGCTTATTTTCATGTTAACACTTTTGATTACCTTATAAACACACAATTATAACTTTTAACTCTAAATCAAGTTTTGTTTCGTCAAGGAGACAGCGAGCAGATACGGATCACTGCGCTCAGGGGAAAGAGTTGTTTTGCGGCGTGATCTTGAACGAGTTAAGTTAAAAAAAGAAATAGTGTGCACATTTTAAACTTGGAAGTGTTGAGGGTTTAGAGGAGGGCTTGAGAGCAGAGAGCAGGAGCACAGGGACACAGTGAGGAAGAGTCCTGTGGTTGTGAGTTGTGATGAGAAGCGACAGCTCTCCTGCAGAGCCTGTAAATTGGCTTGGCGTATCACAGACACACAGCCACGCTACATCGCTCAGGTGTCACACCAGGGAAGCCGCTCCACAAGAAAAATACCTTCCAAGCTCTGACTTTGATGGAGAGTAAACAGCACGACCGGCTTAGTGTTATTGAAAGAGAGAGGAAATTGTATAAGCACATATTCTGGCTGCAATCCTGAGAAGCTCTTGTTGGATTGAATGATTGTGATTTCATATGATCACCTGTTTTCATTTTGCTTTCTTCAGGTGCAGTAAAAGATTATTTAAAACACTTAGACAAAAAGGAATAGTTATGTCTGTAGTGAGTGACAGGATATGACCAAGCGGGATGCCATATATACAGTAAGTCATCATTTACTGTATAGGATGTTAAATGATAGATTACTGTAGAGATTTCTGACCTTGGAGGAAAAAACTTTTTTTCAACATGACTTAAAACAGCTTAAGGTATTTCATATGTACTGTATTTAATTAAACAGAAATGAGGTTAAACCACAAATCCTTAAATTAATTAAAGCACCATTTGTTTTTAATTTGCCCTTTGTTCATTGGATTTAAGCTGTTAGTCTGTCTTTGTAACTTTAGCGTCTACTGCAGGAACTAGAGCAGTGTTAGTTGTAGATTGTCATCCAACACATTTATACACATGAAGGTCTTTTTAGTATTTAAAAGTGAGCCGAACTGCGAGAATATAGTTTACTGTCATGGTCTATTTTATCAATATGACGGTGACTCAAAATTTCTCCTCTCTTTTATTTGATTAACATTTACAATGTCTAAATCCATGTTTTCACCCAGGCCTCAGTGGGAATATTTAGGGATGTGTTGGCTGAATGGCAGCATGATGAAATGAGGGGAAACACGTATTTGTGAACGACAGAACCCCACAGTCTCTTCTGAACAGTTCCTCTCTGATCTAGGTGGACCCACTCAGGGCACTTGCAGGGCCTGCTTTATTGACACCTGCACCAGGTGCACAACTAACATCTGTTTGTTCAAAAGGGGGATGTGTTTGCTCAAATCAATGTTCACAGGAGAAAAGTTGCATCATTGTTTGTACACAGACGTGGCTGTGACTCATGCTCCTGATGTGTAGGCGTTACATCCCCTGTTCGAACACGGTAAACTGCATTTGGTGCAAATGTTTTCCAAATCAGGCCTGTTGTCTGAAACAAACTTGCTCACTAAGTTCAGTGTGTTTTTGGTCACACAATCCAAGGATAGTTACTGTTGAGCTGAAAACGGATTATTTCAAATTTTTCTTGCCAACGTATCAGATAGCACTGGCTGTCATTGGGTATAAACAAACACACCAGAAGAGCGAGACTTTCTGTTTTTTTTTAGATGTTACCAACACAGTAATATCTCCACAGAACATCATACTTGTGTCGTTGTACCTGTTTTCTGTTCAATTCAACACTATTTGCTTCCCATTAATCATAACTTTGGACACATTAACTAGGAGATTCCCAACCTTCGGAGCACATGGCCCCAGTGACCCCATTCTTAATCTAATTCTGATAATATCTGGGTCACTATGGGTTTCATTTGGTTACATCATTTTGACTCTGGAAAGGAGCCGAGGATTCTGGGAGGACACTGGCTCTGGTAAGTAATGTAATTGGTTTTTGCTCTTACCATCAGGTTTGAGTATTTAGACAAACTTTATAAAGAAAACATATTTTTGTCGCTTTAAGTTATGGATCGTAATCCTAAAGTGACCCTGGTAAGCTATTACCACACTTGCCAGAAAGGAGCAGCCATTCAAAACCTTTAATAAGAACTAACACTGATAAAAAAGCACTTGGTTTTTGCAGTGATTAACAATATGGTTCAAGTGTTGCAGAATGGTTAAAACTGCTCAGAATTCTTCAAAAATTAGGATGTATCATAATTTAAGCTACAACTGTGATCATTCTATTATAAGTGTCCCTTGCAGGTATATGAATATTAGATTCTATCATGATTTTGACCAAAATGCACCTTGGGAGTTGTCAAGTTCTCGCTTTACATTCTAAGTATTTTACCTTTAACTTTTAGCCAGAGAACCTGATGTTTTCAAATGTAGGTCTTAAAGCATTTATGACTCTGAGTCCCTTGACACAGAGATTTATTTTACTTTATTTAGGACTCTTGTTGGGGTGAGGAAACGAACAACAGTCAGCTCCCAAGGTTGGGAAACTCTGCGACATGTATGCACCATTAACATTACAAAATAGGTTTTAATCTCCATGCTTTGACAACACCAGCCAAATCCTTTCCTTCCCTATAAAGTCTCTACAGCACCTTGATCTCCTTTTTGACCTCCATGCCCTGCACCATCACTCACCTGAACCTCTGAGCCTGGTGGTGGAGGGGACCGGGGTATCGGCGGTTGGGAGACTGGTAGAGTTGTGACAGGAGAGCTTGGCTGGTCTTCTGGCTGGGGTTATTGGCGAACTTGACAGTGATGGGCTCGGCGGCACCTGATGGCTTCTGTCCGTTCAGGCCCTTGATGGCCTCCTCTGCCTCTATCCTCTTATCAAAGCGAATGAAGCCCACACCTCGGGAGCCACCTGCGGGGCCAGCAGATCACAAACAAACACAGGCCCCTTTTACTTTACAGGTTTTAGACACAACAGATGCAGTCTTTACAATGGTAATACCTTGTTTGAGTGTGTTTTGTTATTTTAGGTCACAAAGTACTTTTAAGACTTCCACATGTGGTACATTTTCCACCTTATTTCCTACTCCTATAGAAGTATAAAGGGCTTTGACATTGTCTTAACACTTCATATTGTTTTTATCCTCTGATTTGGACTATGGACCATGTGACTGATTTGTCTTGTTGTGACTGAAGGTACGAGGATGTGTTGTGGTGTTGCCCCTCCATCTGTTTTAAGCCTCACGGTCCATTCTTCTCCCATGCCAGCTCTAGTCGCAGTCAGCCATACACACACACTCCTCTCACATTGTTCTCAGTGACATTTGAGCCGTTTCCTTGGAGACATTTTTTGACTGCCACCTGAGAGAAACATTTAGAGCTGTGCTTCCTGGGAGGTCCTTTATTGGTGTCTGTGAATGCTCTACGTGTGTTACTGTTTTATATACATATATGTGTGTGTGTGTGTGTGTGTGTGTGTGAAAGCATGTGTGTGTGTGTGTATGAGTGTACTGGTATCTATTAATGGATGCTGTGCCTTGTTTTAATGAGGCTGCCTAGATGGCCCAGAGGATGCTTGCTCAGTGACAGCAGCACTCTGCCGAAGAGACTATTTACATAATACTGTGTGTGCACACAAGCATGTCTGTGTGGCTGAGACTGAATAAAAGAGAGACAGCAAGAAAGAAAGAGGGGAATTTTGTGTTTGAGCATTATTGTGTGCTCTCTCTTTCTCACACATGAAAACCCTTCTTATTGTTATTCCACGTTTTTGTACATGCCATCCCTCTCCACATTTCTTTTTTATACTTCCCTGTTGGCTCATCTCTTGGTGCCTCCTCCTCTGAATTCTTATTCGGACAAACACCTTGACCAGCTCACTCCCCCTTTTGTTCTCTTTTTCTCTCCAGGAGATGGGCAGCACAAGGTTATTTACTTTGTAGCAAGGCTACACAATAACTAAGCTTCTCTATGAAAGCCAATTAAATTCTCCTTTCTCATTCAAAGTCCAGTATTTACCTAGAAATGTTGGGAATTTTGGTTCAATTATTCTTTTCCCTTCGAAATATGTAGACATATTGGTTTAAGATTTGATTGTAAAATAATCAATATTTTTGCAAAAACACAGACTTTAGGAATATAATTTCCAGTTCAGTCTGCAATTTTTTACTCCTTTCAAACACTGGGAGTCTTTCCTTTGCTGCATTTACTCTAAACTGTGCTGATCTGTGTTTCTCCTAAAGCAGTTAAGTTAACAACTTTTGGCTGCAGTCAGACATAAAACCAATGTGACCACTCTTCAAATCAATCTGCTGCGTCTTATGAAATGAGATGGGATTCCAGTAAGAGCTGAGGTTTTACTAGCAGTGTTATTGAAAAGGTTTTTACTCTGCATCCTGAACAGAAAAGAAATCATGTCACATCATGGTCTTCACTGACCACACACACTCTAAATCACAGCATTTCCTTTTCTGCTTGTTAGATGATCTCATAAACTTGATTTAGTGTAAATGAGTCATTTTTATTCTAGTTTTTTACCTTTCTCCCTCCCTCCCCTGACAGCCTTTCACTATTTTGTCTCCCTCACTTTCTCTTGTGCCAAGTCTGTACCTGTACATTTTAATTAGCTTGTCAGAAGCAGAGAAATAACAATCCTAATGGGATCTACACAAACAACAGCCATCACTGTAGTCGTCCTGCATGTGCTGCATGTGAGGTAAGACACAGGTCAGTGCTGTGTCTTAAGGAACTCTGAGTTATTTTGGTGTTGGAGCCAATAACTGTGATTACCGACATACTTTTTTTTGGATTTTAAATTAACCAACCATGCCAGCTCATCCAACACCATGTCTTATCTGGATTAGTCATGTCAGCCCATTTTCACAGCCGTTAGTGCTGTAATGCACTTTACAACCCCAGAATCCTTGCTCAAGGGCACCTCAGCAGTAGTTAAAGAAGAGGAGAGAGAGAGGGAGAGAGAGTATTGCTCATTCACTTCCTCCACTGAGACAAGAGAGGGAAGAGAGGACTGTATTTGTCCTTTAATCCTTGCACTTGTTTGGCCTTGAGCTGTTCCTAAGCTGGTTCTGGCTGGAGGGCCCCCGGACAAATGCTTGGCATACAGATGAAGGCACACACACACACACACACACACACACACACACACACACACACACACACACACACACACACACACACACACACACACACACACACACACACACACACTTAAGTGATGACTTGAAGAGGTGCTACTGAGAATGAGTACTGAGTATGAAAAGGGGAGTAGAGATGTGTGAAGTCATTTGTAATCATGGTCACCCTGGCTGATGCAGAGTTTGTATATAAACCGTGAGTGTGTATTGTGTCGTTTTACGTGAGCACCAGATACTCTTGTCCTTGAGTTTGTTCAGCAGCAGTAAAAGGAGGTTAGAGGGGTGAGGTGGTAGTTGACCCCGTACTCATAATATTTCCTTATGATAGCAAGGTACCTGTGTGTGTCTTCGCAATAATAACCATAAATAACATGCAGACTAAAGCAATCAATGGTACACTATATATATGCGCATAAATGATATGATACAGAAAAAGTAACTTGAAGACAGAGCAGCTGTCTCTAATTTGACCTCTGTTAGTTTTTCAGCATTAGCCTTAAGAAGGACAACTTTGGTTGTGTCTAATTTAACTTTATCATCAAAATGAAAAAAAAGGGGTTTAGTCTCTGTCTTGACTGTGTTTTACTTTCATTCCTCTTGCACAAAGGTTTCATCATATTAAGAATATGTCAATCATCGTAATGCTATAATTTAAAAAAATTGAACAACAGTAAACATCTACAGCACAGAATTAGGGATGCATCGACCAAATGTTTGCTCTGTTTACAGATAATGGCTCATCTAGTATACAATGATGCCATTATCTGATTATGTTTAAGTCTAAGTCTAAGTTTATCTGTAGGGCTGGGGTGATTCTCGCTTCCAAAAATTTGTCGACGCAGAAAACATACCGCATGATGACATAGACAGTGGCTACTTCAGGCAACGGTGGAGGCATGGACAGCAAAAGAGCTCCACCTAATGGGGTCGATTTAAAATCTACTTTAGCATGATCTATGAGCAGCTCCTCTACATCAATGCATGTGTTCTTCCTGGTTCTATTTCCAAGATCGGGCTGTTTTCATTCAAGGAGACATGCAGTGACATGTCAATCAAATAAAATAAGCCACCACAGTGAACGCTGCATCATACAACCTGCATCCCATATCTAATTCACTCACTTTAAGCAGTTAGCTCAGAGTTGAAGCATCAGTTTTGTGCTTTTATTTGTCCTATAACTTGCTAATTAATCAGCTGTGTGATCGCCGACGAAAGCTCGCTAATGCTAATACTCGGCACACGCGAGCTCCGCTTAACATATGTATACTGATACACATGACTCTGAGGTAGAGCCACGTAAGGAAAAAATAACTCATTTTTAAAGTGTGGCGGCTTTTATTTAACCATGGCGGTGCGCTACGATTGATTGCATATAGGGACGAAAAAAAAATCGTTAGACTAATCCATAGAAAAATAATCGTTAGGTGCATCCATATTTATCTGTTTCTTATCCAAGCGGAAAGCTCCAGTTGGAGAACTAAGAACTGCAGTTCCTGAGTGCCCGCTTGAGGTTGGCTGCAGACGCACAAGAAACATGTACACACTGAGCCAAAACAGACAGTTTTAAGAGCTAATATAAACACGCTTGAAACCTGGTTCAGCAAATGGTTTTGGTCTGACTAGCTTGGTCATGGCCATGGCTCCCATGGCACCCATGGTGTGGGGAGTGAGATTTTTTTGTAAAAGGTTGGTTTTCATTGAGTTTGCATTCAGGACACAGGCTTGACAAATCAGAGGCACAGCTGACTTGGTTGACAGGCAGGCACACTGTAGTCAATGGGAGGAGGCTAAATGCCTATGGCACACTGACTGAATGTTTGGTTGAGACAACATTTCCAATATGGCGACCTCCGCCAACTGGAGGGTGACATCACTGATGCTACATCCAGTATTTAAAGTCTATAATTTTATACCATCTTATCTTTAACACATCATAGCAATGTTGTCAAGCGAGTATTTAAGACTTCTAATTTGTAAAGCAACTATTGGCTGCTATTGCTTTAAAATAGCAGCCTCTGCCATCATTGTGTGAATATGTTGTGAACAGGTGACGTGATGTACGAAAGCACTTTATTTATATAGTCCTTTTACCAATTACCATATTAGTATTGGCTTTGATATTCACAATCAATGTATCCTTATGAAGAGGAATGAAAAGAGGGTGTTTTTAGGTTTTAGCCAGACGAGGCAACACTTGCAATACAGAAAAAGTAACTTGATTCTGATGTTTTTTTTCATCACCTTTCTTTAAAACAAAACAAATACAGGATTTCCCAATGGTATCCTTACTTGCTGCAAGATATCTATCTAAAGTACAAACTGTCGCTTGAATACACCAGTGAAACATTGTTCCATGAAGCAACAAAACAAGTGTTACATGAATAACAGCTCTGTCACATTATATTAATGTTTATTTTTCTCCAATTTAACATAACGAAAACAAACTTGCAATCTATGAAGCAAGCTGCTGGTTTAGGGAGTCAATCCTAATGACTGTCCTTTCAACCAGGCCTAGAAGCCTTGGCTACTTATCAACTGCCAGCCAGCCATACAGGCAACATTAGAGCACAATGTACTTACTAAGGTACAGCAATTTGTCTCTCTCTCCCGCTCTCTCTTTTCCCCTCTCTCTCTCTCTCTCGTCTTCTCACTCTCTTTTTCTGCCCTCCCTCTCCTCCACAGTAATCAACAGAGGCTTATGTAACTCTTTCTACCTGTGCTTATCTCCCTCTAACACACACCGACAGGCACATTGGCTGCCTTACTAATAACACGCTAGCTCATTCTGGGGAGGGGGAAACAGAAAGAGAAAGAGAGGTTGGGAGGACGAGGAAGCAGGTGCCGGGGTGGGGGTGGTGGTGGCGGGGTTTTGCAAGGCAGGAGTGAAAAGGAGAAAAGAAAAAGAGCAGGGACTGAAGAGTAAGGGAAGGAAAGGACAAAAGGAGAGAAGGTGAAAGAGGAGAGTGTTAGGAAGTGACAGTAAAAGGATGATGATGAAAGGTAACAGTGCTATTCTTGCTCACTCCTGCCCCAAACAAAGCCGCTCTTTCTCTAAAACCCACTATCATTTCCCCAAACAACTGACTGACTGACAGAGAGAGATGACTGCTCCTTTGAGAGGCCAAGAGAAAGGAAGGTGAAACCTAGCTGATGGGTTAGAAAACACACATACTTCCTTTTCAGTTTTTAAGCTTCCACAACATTGTTTACTCAAAGGCAAGCCCATATAAACACCAAGGTATACGCACGCCCTGATGCAAGGAGACACGGGCAAAATCTTAAAAGGTTTTCAGGTAGTCCGCTACGCCATGTCCCATCCTTTTATCCTTAACTTCGGCAGCTATAGTGTGCCAGCCGTATCAAATGATTAGCCTTGCCTTTCCAAAAGAATTCTAATATGGCAGAGGCAGAAACAAACCCTCTTCCTGCTGTCTTTTAATTACGAGGAGGAAAAAAATGCAGTGTCCTTGTTTTAAGCTGCGTTAGTTTGCCTGGGTACAGATGGTGTTTGAAAAAGCAGCAAGAAGAGAAGTGAACACACTTTGAAGAGTGGAGGTGCCCTGTGCTTTAGCCTTTGTCAGAGCAGCGCTTCTACCATCTGTCTGATTTGTGTGTGTGTGTGTGCGTGGATGTATTGATGTGTATATCTCTACATGCTTGCATGTGCACGTGTGTCTGCGAAAACAAAGTGCGCACTTGAAAGATTATGTATGGGTTGGGGGGCGGGTAGTAGGAGTCAAGGCTGCAGTCATCCCACCTTGAGGGTGCACCTCTCTGCTGGTGTTACCTTGACCGTTCTGTTCTGTGCTACCAAACAGACAGAGAGCAGGGATTCAGTGTGGTGTCAGTCTAAAGGAGAACATCCATTATTCAAGTCAAGAGAGGAGAGAATGCACCAAGTGAGCAGAGGAAGAGTGATTCCTTTGAGAAAAAATACTGCAAACATGAGAGGTGTGAATACAGGAAGAAGGTGAAAACCAAACCATAGAGCTGTACAGGTTTATAAAGAGTCTTTTAGGACTCCATTTTTATCGCACTGGAAAGATTACTACTGCAAAGTTGCTATATGTTTAATATTTAACAATTAAGAAAGCCACAAATGTTCATCTCTTAAGTAATCATGTTATTAGCATTATGATGCTGCAAAATAACGGTTTTCCTGTGACACTTTAGACTCTCTCTAATCTGCTCATGTCTCTCTTGTTCATTCATGTATTCTTTTCTCTGTAAATACCAAACTACGAGGGGAAAGATCTGAGTTTTGGCTTTCTTCCCAAATGATGAGGACAAAGCAATGTCTCAGTTATAACTGCAATAGCTTCGATAAAGTCTTTGAGGGGTGAGTCACAAAGCAAGTAATCTTCAGACTAGTTTGGCAGAAGGGCCATTAGAGTTTCATGTAAACATAATCAACATTTTTATAGCTTCAAACAGTCAGTAACAGTTTCTGTGTTGATCACTGAGTGCAAATAAAAACGTGCAACCAAACACGACATGACCAGACTTTCAATACCCCCATAAACATAATCTTGACTTTAAAAGGCACATCGTGTGCTCCAGGCAGCGTGTTTGTAATGCAGTGCTGAACTTCTCTAACAATGCAGTGTTTTCTTGTTGTATTGAAGGAGAAAGTCTGAGATATTTTCTGACAGCTTTAATATCCAGAATACAACTTGGCAGTAAATAACACCAAAAGGTCTGGAAAGCTTTCAAACATGGACGCATCATATCAGCAGAATTTCAAGGTAACTCTACTTTAATTTGATGCTATTTTGATCAGGAGCAATGTGCCTATCACACAACTTAGCTCAATGCCAAATAACTTGCAATTTGTTTTAAGTAACACTGGCAATCACTATCTTTAGTTGCATGATGCTGTGAGCACTCATGACTTGTTACCATGGGAATCATTCCCATTGCTTCCTCCCATCCCACATGAAGGCAACTCAGCATTAGCCTTTTCACTGCCAGTCCTTACACACACTGTGTGGCAATTTAGTTTCACATAAGAGTTTGTAGAAGCCGAGGCTGTAGATCGATTGTATTTGCTGTCATTGATCAGGTAAGCATTGACATATGCACAAGCACAGGTCAACAAGGAAGTAGAAATGGCTAATTATTGATCCAAAAATTTTCTCTTGTTTCTGCTGCAAATTGAAAACCAGCTGTCAGAGTCCAACATCACAGTCGGGCTGCGTTTCCTGAAGGTTTGAATCAGAGTGAGGGGAATCCTGCTGGCACTATTAGCACTAGTAAAGAGACAAAGTATGTTATCTATTCAGAGGGAATCAATTGACAGAAGAAAAGAGAAAAGAGGCAGAAGAGAGCAAGGAAGAAACTGAGAGATATCCTTGTAAATTTGATGTTTTGTTCTCTCCCTGAGTCGCTGTGGCAATTTGGCAGTTCAGTGGTATTTGTTTCAGCCGGCTCTGACTGAGGACGATGCTAACTGTGATGTTTTCAAAGTTCCTTCTGGTCTTCATGAACAGAAGAGTGACTGCAGGGTGCATCCTGCTGATGAGGAGGTCATTTAGAGAACAGACTTCATGTTCCCAATTTAGCAGGGGAGGAGATGGAAATCATCAGCCCATCTGGTAATGGTCACTAGAGGATATCCATCATTTCAACAACCATGTAGCATAGCTGTTCCTATGCATTGCTGTCTGGGCATCCCAACAATTGAATCCCTTTCTGTAGACCATGTATGGGTGTGGCCGAAATCAGTCTTTTGTTCAACAGAGACAATGAGTCACCTAAAGTCACAACAAAACCATCCATATTTTTCCTTCACAGCAGAATAAACTGAACAACATTGTCTTCCTCTGCAGGAACATTTTCAGTAATTGATAATGACAAAGATGCATTCATGAAAGTGCACAATTTTTTGCACTGTACACCAGTCTACTACGCCACAAATCTGTCTGTCTTCCCTTTTCTCTATCTTTTCCTGACTCCCCCTGCTTGTTCTGTGCTTACATTTTTAACAGTCACAGGAGAGTTTTAATTTGCAGCCCATTTCTCTCCTAATGGCAGCAAGTGTGTGGGTGTGTGTGTGTGTGTGTGTGTGTGCGTGTGTGTGTGTGTGCTGTACAGTAACAGAGAGAAGAAACAGATGAGTCAATGATGCCAGCATACTATTCTCAGGGCCGCTCTAAAGTCCTTCATGTTTTTAATCACCAGCAAGTCTAACATCTAATTAATCATTAACATTTCTCCTGCTGATCCTTATCCCTCTGGAGACACCTTGCAGAACATCTCTCGTTTTCCCTCTCTAACATTATTATCATTTGAGTCTGTGTTTCAGTGTGCAGATGATCGTGGATCTTTGTGTGTTTCAGTTTGAGCTTAAAAAGTCTGTAGGTTCACAGTGAGGACAGCAATTATTGAAGCTAAGGGTGTTAGCAGGGTCAGGGTGTTCAAACACCTCCAGTTCTGAATGTGAGAAAGTGTACTGACCAATGAAAAATCCACCGCCTGTGTGCTACAAAAGATACCTGTGTCTGGTAGCAATAAGAGAGAGTATTACAACACTGCGAAAAAAAAAAGAGAGAGAGTTTATAGCTGTTGTACTTTTTTTAAAGTGGTATGGCGAAGTGCCAAAATGTAGTAAACATTATATATTCTTTGTGAAGTGCTGTTAGTTGGTAGAAGTTAGATTTCATGTCAAGCATAAATCAGTTTGATGTTTCATCGAGTAGTTTTCTGTTTATGCTTTGCAGCGGTAAAACTTCACAAAATTGGCAATGTAATATGAAAGAAAATAAACAAATAAAGTGGTCATGTGTGATTAGGAAAACAAACAATAACATCAGAAATACATTTTCTAGTTCTTGTGGTGCGGTGTCACATCAGTTTCTTTTTTTACTGAATTGTTCTAACGTGACAATTTCAACAAGCAATGACCTACTTCAGGCCAAGGCGAGTTTAATTCATTTGTTGAACATGCTAGCTTTAATCAGCCCTGCTGTGCAAACAGTATCTCATAACAACAGAGGATAGCTGGCCTGAACATGGCAAAGAAACAGGCAACAACAAACTAAATACACAGAGGTGTCGGTTGTGATGTAATGTACTGTATTCTTAGCAATTTGACGCCCCACATCAGCAGAACATCAAATTTTGTACAGCGTATGCTATTTCAGGGTGAAATGTGTGATGATTAAACCTTTGAGTGTCAGCTTTGAATAAATGGAAGTGAAAGAAACCGTTACATAAAACCCCTAACTAGCTCACTTGTGTTTGGTTGAATGTGAGTGTTCATTTTTATTCACTAAGGGGCAACTGAATTGTTGCACAGCTTTATCTGGACATGAATGAAAAAAGAACACATGAAAAATGCAACAAAATCTTCTCTTCCTGTGACTCATACCACCTGTGTTAAGATGTGTTTTATTCATGGCGTGTAGCCAGGCCATCGAGGCTAAAATTCAGCAGTGTGCATATGGCAGTGGATGAGCAGATGTTTACTGTGGTCTTGATGTGTATTATGAGATAAAACTGTTTTTTCTGGGTCTCCTTTGGGTCTAAGAATCATGGTTGCAGGTCTGCTAGTAAAAACACATCAGTCAGAAATGTGTGGCCAAGCATCTTTACAGCTCTCTCATGATTTCCTCGCCTTCCCCCTTTTCCTTTGCATTTTCTCTGCCTCTTTAACCCTGTCTTCACTCCCCTCTGTCTCCCTTTTCTCTCTTTCTTTGTTCAATTTTTTGCTACTTTCCCATCTCCTCCCAGCCTCTCTCCTTGTCTGCTCAGTGTGTACAGACAGGCGTGCACTTGAGCGCCAGCAGTGATTTATTCTGCTTAGGCAAATGAGTGTGGCTTACAGCATGCTGCTCCCTTTCTGCTTCATCAGTACACATTGCACATAACACTGGAGCAGGTTGCAGCCTGTAGGCACATACACAACCCCTGAAATGGATCTAAGAGACACGCTGGAGGGGTTCCTCTACAGCACAATGGGCTGATGTGATTCATTCTTGTGTTTTGGATGTAGTGGAATATGTAATTGAGCATGTATATTTCACAGATTGTGCTTCTCATGTAATCATTTACTACAGAACCCTCAGATGGGGCTGTGCTTTAAAGAATTGCCTCTTGAGATCAACTTCCAATGCCATCCTAAGAAGACTGCGGGCAAAGTGCTTAGGCCAAAACTAATTTCATCAAACAAGTGTGTTTGTCAGATACCCTTATTTTATGGCAAGCGTGTGTCAAATCAAGGGATTCTAGTTTAGCTCTAACTGACATGTAATGTTCCCTTTCAATACTTACTTAGTAACCCTCCTTAAGTGGGATATGCACAGAAGTCATTTAAACATATATTAAACATCTGTACTGTTTTTACGGCTATTTAAGATACGAAAATTAATAGAGATTGCCACCTGAAAAAAGTCATCTTTTAGAGCCAGCACTATTTTCTTTCTGATTTTTCTCCAACTGGCATTCTGAAACCGAAACACAACATGCTGAAGATGAATATTTTTTCTCCCTTCTCTTCAAAAAAAGACAGAAACTGACTCATGATTTCATTTTATGGTTACAGCACACAGCCAGGGTAGGAATTCTGTGCAAAAGTTTCTAATTATTGAGCTATTATGAAATTTCTATTGAAAAGCACACAAAAAGCAGAATGTCTGCTTCCAGAATTAGATTTTTTTGATATCTGCAGATGTGGTTTTTGACTATGTTAATAACTATTTTCATACAACAAAGAAGCCCTCACAAAGGTAAAAATCAGGATTAATTTTGACAATTTCGGCAACAAAAAGGAAATTGCTATGTTGTATTATAAACCAGCTGGGTCCCTTTGTTTTTATTATCTATCTGTGTTTCTTTCTATCAACCACAACACTCAGCTGCAACAGACAGGCAAACTGCCCTGTAATAGGCGTCTCTATTTCTGTGATGGTCTTCTGAAAAACATCTGTTTTCCTAGTCACTTGGGTGGTCAGTGCTGCCCCATGTAGTCCATGATTGGCTGGCTGGAGAAGTAAAATTAGCACCTTGCTGAACATTTCAGGCTGACATGAATCAGTAAAGTGCCCACAGCACTTAAAACATACACTGAACCAACACTCAGCATGCTCTGAAAAAGACACAGTGGTCTGTCTGCGAGCTCTCATGCTACATGTAACACGTTCTGCTCTTTGGGAACAGCTCTACAAAAAGCTCAACAAACCTTCGTAGCTTGGGAGCAAACTGCAGCTATTGCTAGTGGGCTAACAATAATCTATGATCACCCCACTATCTCTCTGCTACAAGCATGTTCTCCAAAACAAATGACTGTTATCAACAACATTATTAACTAGAACTCCACTTGTTAAGAAAGATCCCAGTTTTAGTTACTGTGATGAAGCGGCAGGAACAACGATGGCCTCTGTGTGCGTTCGGTTGATTCTGTGTGTCTGTATGAAAGTGTGAAACGGAGGAGGTGCTGCCCCATGGATACCTGTGACCTGGTCGACAAGGATGCGCGAGGTGATGATCCGTCCGTACTGGGAGAAGAGCTGCTCCAGCTCCTTCTGAGTCATAGTCTTGGGCAGGCCACTCACATACAAGTTAGCATCACGAATGGAGGCTGAGCTGGGTCGTGCATATGACACCTGTGGGGAAAATCCACAATGTATTAGTGTATGCAGTCAGTGACTATGAGCATCCTGGAGGTTTAAATCTACACGACGGGGGATTTAATGCGTGTCTGTGTGTGCGTTTGTGTGTTTGGATTGAGCAGGGGAGCGGGTCATTGTAACCACAAGAGAAAAATTGTGACTAAATTTTCCCAGTGCACCTTGCCATGGGGATTTTCATTGTCAGGAAAGACTTGGCTGCTGAGAACTCTTGGGAGATAACACTGGAGTTGTTTGCTGTTGGGAGCTGAGGAAACTTTGTTCCCTTGAGTAGAAACCACAGGTGTTTTACTTTGAAAGGGAAGCCTAGCGAGCCAGGAGAACAGGATTAATAGTACTCGGGCTGTGACTGAGCTATGCTGAGTCAAATCATTGTACGTGACAGAGTGGTTTATATGTTGTGTTTGCAGATGTATTTTTTTCCATTAGCAATGTCAGCAGATTTATCAACGAGTTCAACAGCAAATGAATGAATGCCTTTTAGCTTGTTAGCTGGTGCCAATTAGCCCTGCCAGTCTTGATGAGTAGAGTCATACACACTTTAATTTAATCATGCAGGCATTACTGAAAGATAAAGATATAAGACAGAGTAATGAGTTCACTGCTACACATCTTCTGAATGTTATACAGACAGAGTATGAATAATAATAAATGCATATACACCTTACAGATACTGACAAAACACGCATACTTTTTACACAACAAAGTCCTCTACATTCTTGTCATGCAACAGTCTTCGGGTAATAAAAAGACTTTATAATTTTATAATTATCTAGACTATTTCCCTGATCCTTATAGTAGCAGGCTGCTCCTCCTCCTCTTTCCTTAACACCTTCAGAGACACCGTTGACTTACATATGTGCATCTTTCAAAGCTATTTTCCTGTCAATCACACTGTATAGGCTATATTCTATGAATGAACTGTACATTACTCTCTACTCGCAGCTGTCGCTCTCTACCGCTGAACTTTCACTTCTCAAACATTGTCCCAAACGTCCTCGTGTGTAGACCTGGTTTTTGCTCAGGCAAAAGTTGCGCAAATCCCATTACTGCTGCTGCTGACAGGAGCAGCTTTCCCTTGCAGTACTTTCATTACCTCTGACATGTGGAGACATAAGCTATCAAATAGGGTTAAAGTCAGGCAAATATGGTGGATATGCAGTCATATCCTTCAGCAGCAGCATGGAAATCCTGCTGAACTCTTACGGTGTAAGAATAGGATTGGGAACAGCTGGCTTTCTCCATGTCTCGCTTTTCTTTTACACATCTTTCTCTTTGGCATCTCTGCTCTGCTCCTATGTTTTCCTCTTCCTCTCTGTATCTCACTGCTCTTTGCTGCCTGAATCTTCTCCCTCTGCTTCCTTCCTGCGTGCTGCCTCACTAAACCTTTCTCTCTCTTCCAGATTCTGCCTCTTTTTGCTCCTCTTTTCTTCTCTGCGCAGCTCTCCCCTCATTTCTTCTCCTTGTCAGCCAACTCCAGATGTCTAATCCATCAACACCTCCTCAAGCTGTGAGCGGTACTGTGTACAAGTGTGGTGTAGGGTATGTGTGGATTGTGTGTGTGTGTATGTGTGTGCGCCTATGAAAGTTGGGAAAAGTGTGAGAGATTATGTGCATGCATGTCACTGTGAGATCCTCTCACCTTTGGCATGCTGCTTCCCCTAACGCCTCAGACAGGAAGCAGCATCGCTGACTAAATCTGAGGTGTCGTGGTGTAGGAAACGGTAGGAGTAAAACCAACTCAAACACACTACCCTGAGACACATCGCCTTGGAGCATGTGAATCTGTAGGCCAAACCTTTTCGTCACGAGTGTACTGGCAGAGAGTGGGAAGGGTGTAACATGAAAGAGCGCCAAACTTCATTTTGAAATTACCGTGCTGCCTTTTAATTTACCTAATTACCTTAAGGGTATTGTGATCTGTTGTGGAGGGAGACAGCAAGGAAAAGAGGGTTGTGGGAGGGAGGAAATGAAGTGTGAAAGAGAGATAGCGCCAGACAGAGATGCAGAGTTGTCTTCTGTCATTACCAAGACTGCCTTTATCTCGGGAATGACTTCAGGCAACTTCTTGTGTCAGGAGAGTGTGAGAGTGAAATCTGTGAACGCAGGATGCTACATTCAATAAACACCACAAGATTTCCACACCGCTCAGATGACCTTCAACTGTTTTCAGCCTTTACATTGAGACTGCCTCTGGGTTTGTGTTGGTTAGGGGTCCAATGGATCACAAATCTCACATTTTGGTTCAGGGTTATGGACTTATCTTATTTATCATTTCTGGATCAATTTAGAAGAGTGAACTCATGAAATAAATTGTAGAAAAATTCTACTCCCCGCCTGGACTGTAACTGCATTACCAATGCAGGGAATCAATGCATTTCGATGGTCTATCACACCCTCAACTTTCCTCCATGCATACATGTTACCACATCTCTGATGAGAATTAGAAGCAGTCAGATAAACCTAAACTTAAATTTTATATAGACAGTTTTTTAAACATCTTTGAATGCAGCAGTCTGTGACATACTGTCTTTGTTACTGTACTGCAACTCAGTGTTTGTCCCCGCTAAACAGAGCACATTGACTTGACAAGCATGAAACAAAAATTATGAAAATTGTGATAAAGAAATTTGCCATGATGCCAAAACAACAGTTTTTCTTGTATGAGCTGTGAGAGTGTTTAACACTTTACACATGTGCATTTCTCATCCAGTGGATATCTGTATCTGTGCGCTGGCTGCTCCTGTTGCGTGTCATGTGAGGTGGACTACAAACAGGAAGCATGCATCTTGGGACCTTTTCTCTTCATCTAGTTTCTAGATCAAACACAGCAGTGATATAAAGTAATTATCCGTACACAACAAAATGTCAGAACTTTCTGATCCTTTTGTGGGTGAAAATTTGTGTGAAACATACTGTACGTGAGGCTGATAAAAACCAAGACTGAACTAAGTCACATTTTTGCAGTAAATCTCCACGGTACCATTACGCCTGTGTGCCTGTAATGCTGCTTTCTCTACTTTTCTTTTCCTCTTTATATTTCTTGCTCTCTGGGATTTATCAGGGCTAGATTCAAAGGACACCACAATGAAAAATTTTCCACTGACCAGCGGCTCACATGAGATCTGAACAAGGATCATACACATGGATTATTTATCAACTGTGATTTGTTGCACCGCTGATGTTAGCTGACTTGCTTTCTATCGCAGACATAACAGCTGTAATTCAGTCACGACAACATAAAAATAACCACACATCTGACAAATAACATCATTAACATTGAATACTGCCTAAAATGCTAGTTTCTGGCATTGATAACTATGCCAATTGTTGCATCGATCGAATACCATAACCAATAAGCTCCAAAAGTTAACTGGTTTCAGGTAAACCATCATGTGCCAACACAAACAGTATAAAACTGTCAGCAGTCGGTATTTTTCGATCAATGGTGAATTCATTTTCTTCCCTTGTTTGTATCTAAAAGGTGCTATAATGTTGTCAAAGCTAGACAAATGTGAGCAGTCAAGAGTATTGGTTTTCGATTTTCATTCCAAAGGTAACAGTGGGGTTGCTAGTATTGACTGATATTTAAGTTAATATATCTAAAATAGTATCAGCAGGATAAATTAAGGTAGCAGATCAACTCTGGTGCAAGTGTTCATCATTCTAACATTTTTATCTTGTTTTTAAGCCGTTAAAAGAGCCAGGAAGCACTGCTGAGCCAAGGCCAGGTCAGGCAGCCACTGCATTGTGAATGGGGGGATTCTCCCAGGGATTGCCCATTCACAAATACGGGCTAATCCCATGATATTAGATTACATTAGATCAGATGGCAGAAGGCGAGAATCCAGGGATTACGGCAGAGCAACAGATTACTGCTTAGTTTAAAAACCATAATACATTAGCATGCACAGAGCAAAAGGGACGAGAGAGGATGATGTTGGAGTAAGGTAAGTGTTGATGTAAACCGTGTGCTCCAACCAAATGCTTTTCGGTTTGTTTACAGTCTTGGAGGGAGGACAGAATAGTGTTGGCATTGGTCTATCTGTCTTACCTCCAACATCCAACAAGCCTGCACATTAGTCATACCATTGAAATGTAGAACCCGAGCTCTGTATTATTTTAGAAAACATTTCATGACTGATGTCTTTCTCCCTTTTATGTATGTATATTTTCACCTGTAGATTTTGACATTTAGAAGGTAATTAGCATGTCATCCGTAGTCAAAAGCTTTTCAGAGTGTCTCTTTGATTTAGATGGTCTATTTAATTACTGAGCCTCATGCATGTTAATCCCATCTTGCCCTCCAGCTTATTCGCTAACAGCATCACTATCTAAAGAGGCTTTGAGGGAGAAGAAAGAGACATTTACTAGCATGACATCCACAACTTAATAAAATAATTGTGATTTTATTAATCATCATCTTGCAGTTCATTAACTTTTATATCTGCAGTTGTGCTTTTCAAGTATCTAGTTTTTCATTAATATGATGTGTAGTAGAAATGTCTGTATTTAATTGTATGTGGTGACAGTTACCTTGATCGTTTTGGTCTGAAGTCTGAGTCCGTTTAACGTGTTGATGGCTTTCTCTGCATCCTTTGGATCGATGTAGTTGACAAAACCATAGCCCAGACTCTGTCCTTAAAGACCAAAGAGAGAAAGAAAATCTTTTAGAAAGTTATCCTGATTTCATACTTCAATTATTTACTTTTCTTACTGACAACTACACAACATCTTAATTCATATTTATAAGCCACACTTAAATCATGTCCCTCATATTTAGGGAAGAGGGTTAAACACATTTACCCTAAAACAGACAGGCTTAGGAAACTCTATATAAACCTTTTTGTCCAAAGGGTTAGAAATCAAGATTATTCAGTAACTTGCTCCAATAAGTCATCGACCAGACTTGACCCTGGTTGCTCAGCTTCTTACAACTAAAAATGATTTCTCATACTTCTCCTTGAGTATCATCATCATCATTACACCTCTTTGTACTGGAATATCCTGTCCTGCATCGCTCCATCACCACTCTCAAGATCACAATGTCTTCTACCCGAGGCGCAAAGAGTCTCAGTGTGATATCTGTCAACTATGTGTCATGAGAATCCTGCTCTGCTACAAGCCACAAGTGGGAAGAGGACCTGTTTTTTAGCATTTAATAAATACCTAAAAAGTTCGGCAAACAATAATGATTATAAAAAAACAACATTTTTTTAAGTATTCAGGTCAAAATGTTAATCGTATTGCACAGAAACAGTGTCTTCACTCAAATAGCTGCCTGTTATATTGGTATTCTTAGAGCTTAAAGGGACTGATCAATTTATTTTACTAATTTATTATAATTAATTAATAAAAATATTTTCATAATTTGTCATAAATTAAGTTCACGTCCCCCTGAAATGCCCCTGAAAATGTAGTATCACAGTTAGTACAAAAAACATATTTGTTACTGTCTTTGCAGCTGTGTAAAAAAAAAAAGAGAAAAAAATACCACCCCCATTTCCCTCTAAGCTCAAAGTGTCTTAGATAGCACACTCCCTTTGAGTGTGAAGCAGGCCTGACATGTCCCTGTGTTTCCCCGACAGATCAAGCCTTTCAACAGGCGTAGGACTGTAAGAGGATGCCTCCAGCCATCGGGCCTTCAGTCAGCTAGTTTTCAACAAACAGCCCGGATCCACTAACACCACACACAAGCACAAAGCATCGCAGTCAGTTTAAGAGGAGCGGAGTGCACATATCCACGCTAATGGGAACAGACAGCGGTTAGTCAGAGACAAAGTGAATCACAAAATATGGAGCATGGCTGTTTCACTAAATAAATACATTTGGGCTATGGATATCACAGCGCAGAACAGCGCAGAACAGCTCAGCAGCGAGCGTTGGAAGGGCCAGGAGGGACTTGTAGTCCGAACATCAAACAGCTGATGATTTTCTCTTCTTCCCTCCTCTCCTCCCTCTTTTCCTCTGGATTAACTGTGGATCATCAGACACTCTATTGTTAATTAAAAACCTGCCATTCTGGAGAGATTTCTGCTATTTATAACTAGCCCTCCTCTTTCCTCTCTCTCTCCTCCTCCTCCTCCTCTGACTCTAAGCTGACATCAGGTGTTAAGTTTGTCAGTTTAAATGTAACTCAAAAAAATGGTGCTTTGTGGCTCCTCTGTTTTAAATATTAAGCACACAAAAGAGAGCAGGAATAATGACGAGAAAGAGAGCAAGTAAATAATCAGATGAGTTGAATAAAGCATTTATGTACTGGAGTTTAAGCTTGCCAATAACTACAATGGGCCACAAATGATTTTCTAAATTAGCCAGCAGCATACAGTAAGAGGCATTGTTTTCCACCAAATGGATGCGTTAAAGAGAATTCATTTGAAACTATGTATTCAATTTACACTGAGTTTGTAATCCAGATGGGTGCAACAGCTGAGAGCATGCCGCTTCAAATGCTCCTCTCCAGCATTCGCCATCTTTCCTACCCTCGCCTCCCACTTTCCCATCACCTTTCTCACCCTTCTCCCTCATCTTCAACAAGAAATGTGAGGTTCGACAAGCGCAGCTACAGGAGGGTTAGCTGAAAATGAAGTGCGCTGGCGAAGAGCACTCATGCAGGGCAGTCGAGATGGGCCGGCTGGTGCTTAATGGTACAGAGACTCTTAGCACTCGTGGAGTAGACCAGGCAGCCAAATGGGGCCAAATTGGCAACCATGGATGCTGTGCTGTTTGACAGGCCTCAGCGGAGGTTGAGTGTCTTTTTTAAGTGTGTGTGTGTATGTGTGTGTGGGCACTAGTGAGTTACAAGTGTGAGTATGGACACATGTGAGTCAGTGATTGATTAAAGTACTGCAACAGAAGATCTGGAGTATTTACTCCAATTACAGGCTTGGTGACCAGGCGTTCACCTGCCGCCTTATGTAGATAACATGTTTGTCGAGAATCGTGTGTATGCGCTTTTGTTGACTGTGCATGATATAAGTGGTGGAAACCTAGGCTTGTATTGGCAGCCAGCTCCCACCCTCTTCATCACACCCTCTCTGGCGAGACTGAGGGCTTTCAGGGCTGGAGGAAAAGAAGGTGGGAGTGAGGCTCACTGGCAGGCATCCATCCCTAGGTGAGCAAGGAGAAAAGAAGATATGAAGGGGAGATGGGGAGACAGCTGCCTGCAGCTTTAGGAAATCTCCAGGAGGGTATTCAACCAACCATTTCCAGCCTTCTACAGAGGAGCTAACAGCAGGGAGCCATAGGCAGACAGCCTGGCTGCCTGGAGACGTGACGCCAACGCAGCACACAGATATACACACATGTGCACACACATGCGTGTAAACATGTAATCACTCCATCACTGGGACACACACAAACAAACACAAGCAGTCGAATATGTCCTCCCAGCAGGACAGTGAAGACGAGAGCGACTGGCAGCTCACCAGAGATTGCATCATGCTTTGTGAACGTGTGTGGGGGGGTTTGTAGCTCCTAAACTGCTTAACGAATGTAAAGAAGAGATTTGTTCTCATATGCATGCACATCCGATCATGCCTACGAGCATACTACTGTAAATGCTGCTCTGTTTGTAACCTACAGTATGCATGCAGTGACTAGGCAGTGTAGTTGGCTTGAGCCTGTCACAGCACCTGCACTGTCCACCTCAATACTCCCCAGCAGGATCAGCCCTGTGCGCTGCCTGCATTTGGATCAAACCATCACAGTGCCCTGCTCTGTTCCAGCTCAGCACACTGCGGTTAAGCACAGTTTAAAATGTCTCAGCGGTATTTAACCTAGCATGCTGTCTTTTTGGACCACAAGGGTAAGACCTGCTCGGCATTCATCTGCTTTTCATTACAACAACACCAGACATGATGTAATTAAGACAAAGGAAAGTAGCAAGGCAATGACAGGTTGTGATTTTGCATCAGCCTTTTTATTTTACACTTCAGACTATTGAAAGTGGTAAGACTCAAAAAAACAATTTCTATTGCCTTGTAATCTATCTGAACTTAACAGGAGGTCATTGAAAGACTTTTCAAAAACAGCCACTAAGGCAGAATTTCCCAAACACAACATTGTGTCACTGGGATGAATCCTTCTTAAGAAATCAAAGATAGAGATTGTGGAAGTTTATAATCACAGAAAAACGACTGAGAAACTACAGCATATGAGACACTATAGAAAAGCTATTAAAAATGCATAATAAACAGTCTCTAATGAGGTTGTAGCTCACCAAAAATCAGCCCTGTGCTGATGAATTAGCTTAATGGATACATTAACTTATATGTTTTAATTGTCAATTAAAACCAAGAACCCAAATGATGCATTGCTCATCATAATGGCCTTTTAATGAGGTTAGATATTCATTTGCTTTGATTTCACAGCCGCTTGCAGTGCCAGTTGTACAAAATCTACGCCACTCGCAACAACTCAAGAAAATGCTCAACAGCCATGGAAATAAGAAATATGTAAATTTAAAGCTGGCAGAGGTCTTTTAATAAAGAATGTAATGGGATTTATATGAAACAGATAAATATAAGAAGAAAGGGTTCATAAGCAGTATAATACTAAACTGCTGGGGTCTGTGTATGTATTTGCCAAAAGCTGTCATAATTATGTGTAGATTCTCCCCTCCAGCTCTGAAGTGCTTTATCATCCGGTGTCATGGCTGGTTTCGCTAACAGACTAACCACATTAGATGGAGGAGAGGAGTGAGGAGGTGGAGGATAATTTAGAGTCGCCCCTACTCTTTTGGCAGACCTGTTGTACAATCTGACATATATTATATGGGGAGGTGGGCATGTTTTTTTTTCCAGTGGTAAAAACACTGCTATTTCTAGTGAGGAGCTCTTTGGTGTGTTAGCGAGGTGTTATGACTAAGCCATTATTTGTTTCCTGAGGAGCAGCAGGTTGCCCAATGTGTGAGATGAGAAAATGAGTGTTCTTCGAGCGGGTGTGCTGCCTGCTGTCCCCACTATGTAATTTCACCTTTCCTTTCACCCTTCCATACACACACACACATGCAATTGAAAATTCACACTACTTGCCTAAGCAAAATTACACATAGGTAAGTAAATAAGCACAACAAAGGCAAAATAGCTGAATACATTTCTGCACTCAACTTACAAGCATATAATTAAGCTAAATGGATTCATGTATGACATTGTGGGGCACACACAGGAGGATTACAATTATAAACTGTGGGGCACATTGTAAGATATTGCAGTTGCAAATTTCCTGCTATTATTTTGCGGCGTTTGTTGTGAGTAAGAGCCCCATGCTGCAGACATGAAAGCACCTTCATCTACTGCTATCATCGGGGTAACATCACACAGCAAACTATAGACTCTTTGATGTGGAGTGGTAGCCACACATTAAAACACAGAAGCTGACAGAAGCTTCCTTTTTTAATGTATACTTTTCCACAGTCTATTGTTTCTTGACTGATTTTATTAAAAATTTGAGGCCTAATTGAAGCTCTTTAGCCTCGAGGAATCCCTTGGCGAGAACAAAAATGTCAAGTTATAATTTTCCTTTCCTCTTGGTTCCCTATTGTAGAAAAGCCTCTGTATGAATCTAACAAAAAAAAAGCACAAATCTGACTGAAGGGTCCCCAAAGGGCTATCTATTAAACATTTCCATCCGCACCCTGTCAGTCTGTCTGTCATTCAGAGAGTTCATTGGTGGACGGATCATCAAAGGGGTGACGGGAAGTTTCAGCTTCTAGAGATCATCGTGACTCTGAGCTGCTGATGTTAACACACCTTGAGAGGACCAGCTCCTTCCCCCAGAAACAAGCAAATCCGTTCAGTCAGTCTTGAATTTAGGGACATTTTGAGACGAGGCGGACGGGAGGGGGGAAAAAAAGAAAAACATTTCACATTGTCAAAATAAATGTGTCACACTTGCTGCTTCTGTCCTCTCCCATGTTCTGACGTTTTGCCCCTTGCTGCTGCAGCAAGTTGAGGTAGTGCTATTTTTGATGGGCCAGCGCGCTCCCCAGCGTTCGCAAAGGTGCCCTGTCACCAGCTTCATGTCAAAGTACACTTCACTTACCTCACCGAGGGTCAGCTCAGCAGTGACAGGGGAGATGGGCGAGTTCGCAAAAATATATATGCGAAGAGAACAAAAGACTACAGTACCTCAAATACTAGCGGTACGGTCGGAGCATATCATATGGCATGTATTCAGCCCGTTTAAATAACTAAATTCATAAACAGCCACATCCCCCGCACGCATGCATCTACTGTAGATCCCTCTCCCACTCACTCATTCAACACATCTTTCCCTCCTGGGTTGCCAAGGTAGCAGCCACTGTTGCAGTCAGGAGGCTCCCACTCTCAGTTCCCAAGGCCCTGCTTCCTCCAACACACGCACAGACATACACTTGCCCACGTTGAAGCTCAGGGACACACAAGCACACACATACACGTAAACCACCCCCTCGTGGTGGCTCCCTGAGCCTTGGGGCCAGCGGACTGCAGCCTGCAGTGTGTGGGCTGGTTGGCTGGCTGTGCAGCTGAAAAATAGAAGGAAAGCTGACAGAGAAGTCCCTTTAAAGTCTTGAATAACCTTGTTATGTCAGGTTTGAAGAGCCGACTCTGCTCCACCTGCTTGGACTTATGGTGAGCAGGTCTACAAGCCCAAAGCCATCCAGCCCCAGCCCTACAGCATACATTCAAGGGACAAGGGGGCTGTCTGGCTTTCTTCAGGCCAGGTAGGGTGTGCTCAGAGAGGAGGGTCGGAGGGAAAGGAAGCAGCCCTGCGGCACAGTCAGCCTGTAGATCTGGGGCTGACACATGGGACAGACGCAACCTCTGTGTTCCAAGTAAAGGGCATTTAGAGTGGAATGAGAGGGGACAGAGGCAGTCTGAGGCGAGGGTCACTGGAGGAACGATGCAGCCAAGCAAGCTCTCAGGACATCCAATTCTGGGTCCTAAGCAGAGTGGAGGGGAAGCAGGGGGGGCGTTTAGAGAAAGAGAGACAGGACATTTTCTGGACCTGGGACTCTGAAACATTAATGTGTGTCTGGCTGCTTGTGTCTGCACTTCTGAGCCTGGCAGCTCTCTTAATACCTGGCTTTGGAGATGTCAAATCCTTTTTCCATCTTTTTGCCTGTCAGCTCTGTTCACGCTATCTTCAGCCTTCAAAAGCATTTCACATTAAGATAAATGGAGACTGTATGTGAGATATAAACGCTGCTGCAGATCTCCCTCAGTATGATTTAGTTAGGTTTAAGAGGTCTCATCGTAAAACAAACAGGAATACTAGAGAGTATTGTTCCCATCAGTCATTGGTGAAAAACAGCTCTACTTGCAGTCTGGAGTACAAAGAGAATCAGCTTTGCTCCTGAGCGTGTTGTCGATGTATATTTCAGTAGCAACAAAGAGCTGTGGGTAAACTGAGGTTTATATGGTGAATATTTGATCTGCTCCCTGTTAGACTGACAGACTTTGTACAGGATTGAGCTCCACCCGGCTGTCCTTACAGATCAGGGTTGGATGCATATTTTATGTTTGCAATATTTGCGGGTGCACTTGATGTTCCCGAAATGGAACGACAATGAAACTAATGGAAGTGTTCTGCACTAACCACACGCCTGTGCGTGCAAAGCAAGCCAAATCCAGCAAACCTGGAATTTTTTTTTTTTGTGGCCCGGTGTTTATGAATAGGTCTTACCTATTCTTATGTAAGAACTGGGCTTGCAGCAGGCTTTTACATGGAAGTGAAGCTGCTGTCTGTCAGAGGTGCGCTGGCTCCAACTACTCCACAGCTGACATCACAGTCCATCTATTTTTCATAGCCAACATCTGCTTGGCTTGCTACATTGTCACTATGATTTGCATCAGCTCCCCAGATTCCTTGTTTAAAACCAACACATGGAAGGTGACTAAAGAAGTGTGCACCAAAGGCTTCACTCAGCGTGCTTGGGGATACAGCCTTCACAGGTTTGATGTGGAGATAAGCATTAAATATCAGCATGAGAAGAACAAACGCTGTTATCAAAAGGTTGGTAAAGTTTGCCGCTGAAGCTGGCAATAAGCAAATGCTGCGACTATCCGAGGAAAAGGTCACAGAAGCAGCCGGAACAGAGCAGACACATAGCAGCTTGTAAACACGATGAACTGTTTACTCAACAAGCGAGTAAAATACAATCCCATCTATCTCTCCAGAGTCAGACTTGGCATTCTGCTGCTCTGACTGTACTGTCCTATTGGCACGATATGTAAACCAAAAAGTCGCTGTCCACAACGCTATAATCCTGTCAAACTCTGTCAAACACTGTCAGTTGTTTTTGCTGCATGAAAAGCCATTATCCTCTTCTTAATGTTGTAATGAAAACAAGAGCAGTCTATTATCATGCCAAAATACAGCCCAAAACAACTTTTTGACAAGAATCAGTCATTACTGTGTGTTTGCCTGCGTGCTTGAACTTGTGTGGATGATTGTGAGAGCTGATTCAGTAAGTTGCAAGGTCCACATTAATTTTTCCTTGCTCTCTATAAAACCATGTTCCAGTAAGGAGCGATTTATCAAGGTGTAAGCTTTCAGGCTGGCAAATTTTCAGCTTAACTAACTGTTTTGCTTTGTAGAACCATCTGTAGTCCACAGCATCTTGCCATAATGTCCTCATTCCAAGCATTTGAATACGTAGCATTTTCTCCGGAACACAGGTGCGCAATCATAAAATTTTAAAGAGTATTTACATTTGATACAAAAACAACAAACTTAAGCTATCTTCTCTTCAAGAGCAGCCAAGAAGAGAGACATTTTCACAGGTGGAGGCCTGGGGCTTATGTGCAAGTGTTTGGGCTGTGGCTAGGTGCGTGTTAGCTAGGCTTAAATAAAAGATTAACCTGCATGTCCCTGCCGTGTTATGAGAACCTCAGAGGTAGCTGTGCAAGGAGGCGAGCAGGCAGAAAGGTAGGCAAGCATGCAGGAATGTAGGGAGCAGACCCAGAGGTGGCTCTTCTACCAGCTGAAATACGCAAGGTTGACAGACGGAGCCAAGGCGTCCACGCCTGCCCGCACCCGCCCAAGCCTCAGGCCGGGCTGGCGTCATCGGAGCTGACAAGAGTGAGTCCGCAGGAAGCTGAGAGGACACTGAGGACCTGTCTACCTCTGCTACCATCGGAGAGGCTCATGTGCTCACACCTTGTCAGCAAATACTCACAGTGAAGTCAAGCCACAAACAGGGCTGGGAAACTTCAACACTGATAAATGATAGTCCAGAAAGTGAGAGCATCTGCTAATCTTAAACGATACAAGACAAAAAATAAAGACCCTTGCTCGTGGTACAGTATGCTCGCTCAAAGACGGCCTCAATTTTTAATACAGCGGTAGAATACTTCAACCTAGTCATGGTGAATTATTGATGCAAATATCCAAGTATGTGATTTAATATTTTCATAGAAGGAATTTATTCAAAAGTTTCTGCTTTGTTCTTTTCTCCTCACTCTGTATAATACAACACAAAGCCCTTCGTAGTCCCATCAATATGAATAATAGCTGCTACCGCACATCACTTATTCTAACTCTTATCCAGAAATTTCAACAAGGTAAAATGATCCTGCCTCCTTCAGTTTGGACTTAGAGAAAGAACTCAGATATAAATGTTTGCATTAATGTGCAGATATTTATGACAGACTCAAAAGCACAAGGGTGTAAATTTGGTGTCTTCCATACTCTTCCAGGGATCCTTTTCTATACCTTTCCCTTCATCATACCTGGCTGAGTCTGTTAATGATTTGGACTCGTGTCAGGGAGTGAAAAGCCCCTTGGCATCCCCCCTGCTGAGGAGGTGATCTATGCTTTGTTAGCCTAAAAGTTTGCGTGAAGAAATTGCACTCATGGGAGAGAAAAATGGGTGAACACCAGAGGGGAAAAGATGGAGGGGAGGGCAGGATTTATTTATAGCTTTTTTTTTTGCATTGATACTAAGCCATCTGTTGGACCTTGTAGCGCAGGGTAGAGAAGTACCCTAAATGGTTTAGAAGTGAGCGAACAAACATTTTTCTACCTCTCTCACATTCTCAATTAAGTTCCCGACTCAGGTTTACCGCAATTTGGTTCATTTCAAAACTCTCACCAAGTACCTGCTGCTAGTTTGGTTTCTTGCTGCTGTTTGGGGAAAATCACACTTGAGGGTAAAAACGAATGGAGAGAGAACATGGTGATGGTGATGATCATAGCATGTGGTATCCCACTGTTATTTCTGTACACACCATCCTCCATTATCCCAGGGTGCCTGACTCTTAGGTTCCATTTTGTGGACCATTACTGAGGAAGAGGAAGGTGGTTTTAAAGATGAGTTGCAGTGCTTCACATCAAGATTGAAAGACTTTGAGAACAGACGGACACAAGAATTGCTTCTCTAAGTGAAAACCTCTGGTTTAAAGTACAACTGTTTTCACCTTAGGTCTTCAGGTAGTCTGTTATCCGTTAAGGAAATCTAATTCCCAGATTTTGTTTGCGTTTTTATCCGTGGTATGTATTTGTTTACCCTCCTTGCCTCGCCTCCGAGAATGGCTCAGTGATCCAGACTGCCTGCTTGCCTGGTGCTCTTTAATGAGATTATCAGGAGAAGAGTGTCAGTAAGTAGGATCTAAAATGAAAGCCATTATGGAGCATTATCACAGAGCTGCACCACGCCAACCCCCTGATCCATCTGCTGTACAGCCACCCACACAGCCACTACGCCCAGATTACAGCCATGATTAGCACCGCCAAGTGCTGCTTAATTTAAACACCTCTGGAGAACATGTGGCACTTTGCTGCATTGCTGAGTCACAGCTATTGAACAAACACAAAGGGCAGGGATGGATTTCTTCTTTTAGAAGGCAATACACTGATGACTTCTCAGAAATCACTTGTGTTTTCAATGAGTCAATGATTGATTAAGAGCTTTTCTGAACAAGTGTGCAGGTTTTGAAAGTGAGACTCAATTCTTAATACTTAGTTCTTTACACGACGTATCTACTCTCATTTTTTAACTTGTAAAAACTATGTGAAGCTTGTAAGCTTTTCCTGTAAAGTAAATGATATATTATCCTGATGAATTTATCGTAATTTACTTAAAAACACACATAAGAATAAATACTGCAACTACAGAAGAAAAAACCCTTAGACCAGCAGCGTTCATGTTTTTTTTTGACAATTTTCAACTAAGATACGAATATCTTACTTAGAAAAAGAAAATAAAAAGTCTAGTTTTGAAGGATCAAGCTAGTTTATGAAAGCCTGATTCATGTTTTACAACTTTAGTCCAGTGAGAGTAAAAATGTTGATAACAACAGAATCTGATGGTATGCAGATCATTCAAAGCTTTTATTTGTTTGAAAAAAAGTCAACAAATAAAAGGCTGAAACTGACAAATAATAATATTGTTTTATGAAAAAATATGCTAATTTGAAATTTGATGCCAGCAACATGTTTTTAAAAAAATAAGGAATAAGGACTGAAAAACCCTGAAAAACACCTGGTGGATCATCTCATAAATAACATTATTTACAGAGGGTCCTCGCTCTGTGAGAAACCAGATGAGGAATCAGTTCGGCAATCCCAGAATAATATTCCTAAAAACAGCGACGAGTTTGAGGAGCTCATCAACTGGAGCAAATTAGAAGAGATTTAGAGATTTGCTGTACAAATGGGAGACCATCTAACTTATCAGCACACAGTTCAAAAGCCAGCATCCCTGATGATATGGAGACGGCTATGGGTAGCTTACACATCTGTAAACACCAATAATGCTGAATATATATATAGAGCCACATATGCTTCTGTCTAGACAGAGCCTTTTTTCAGGGAAGACCTTGCATAATGCAGCAGAAAGATGCAGGCATTACCACAGCATAGCTCCATAGAAAAAGAATGCAGGTGCTGATCTTGTCTGTAGGCATTTTAGTAACCTACAGAAGCACACCATGACACAACACATGTGATAAAGGTAACCCCTTAATGTTCAGCAGTTAAAATCAGGAATGAGACAACACTGAACTTTCACAACTCCAGAAACTAGTCTCTCCTCTGAGTTACAGAGTGTTGTTAAAGAAGGTGATGCAGCTCAATGTTAAACAAGTCCTTGTCCCAAATGTTTTGATATGGCATCAAATTCGACATGAGCAAGTATTTTTCATAAAATATAATTTTCCTATTTTTGACTTTGATTTGTTGTCTTTGTATTATCTCCAGTTAAATGTCGACTTTGAATGACTTGCAAATCATCAAACTCTGTCAACATTTAAACAGCATCCCAACTCTAACAGAGTTGTACTTCAGTGTAAGACATCCTCCTCTGTTGGCTTAGACTTCTGGCAAACTACATTTCTTATCACTTCTTGAAGCACACTAAGAAAAATAACCAAATTCTGTAAAAGTAAAGCGGATTATTTTCTTAGCTAATGAGATGATACAGTATTATTATAGAGAAAAACATAAATACCTTAATACAATACAAACAGTCTTATTCTGTACCTGTGATCTTGTCGCGAACCAGCTTGCAGGACTCGATCTCTCCGATGCTACCGAACAGGCTGCGAAACTCCTCCTGGGTCATGTTCTGGGGCAGGTAGTTGACAATAAGGTTGGTCTTGCTGTCGTCGTTTGTTGGTCCGGTCTGCATGGGCGAGGGGCAGCCGCGGCTGTTGGTGGTTGGCCCGTTGGCTGTGTTGCCTCCTCCGCTGGGCCCGTTTGTCACTGGAGCCTCCATGTTACTGATAATCTACAGCAGGGTAAAGATGGGGGAGGGAAAGGAAGAAAAGAGGGGGAAAAGTTAAAAAGGCTTCTGTACTGCTTTCAGCATCTTGGAACAAAAACAAGATGTCCTAACAAGTCATACACATAACATGCAAATTAAAAAACTGTTAAAAGCTGTTTTGAACTAATTATATGAGCAATATTTGCCTTTTAAAGTGACAGAGGTTCAACTGATAGACTGTCAAAGTTAGCTGAGAATGAGGGAAACATGTGTCACAGAATATTAGTCCTCTATGAAAAGTTTTGGCCATTGTAAATATTGTTACAAATCCGTGAGCAGAGTGGCTTAACATCACTTAGATCAACTGGTATTTGAGAGATCTGGATAAGAAATCATTATTTTCTAGGTACCTCAATTAAATAATTTTGTCCTGTAGTATTTTGTGAGACAGACTGAAGTAGATTGTTGCCTTAAGAATCAACATTTTCTTCAATTTATGAGCAGTCATGTGCTCACTAAGTTATCAAAAAGGTGTAAAAACAAACTACTCCTCTTGTCACAGTGACTATGAAATAAATTGTTATAGTTTAACATACAGTAAACAAATAGTGCACATTTACAATCAACATGTCTGAACACTAGGAAGTACACAAACAGTAGACACTGAAAGGATCAACAGGTAAATTATAATGAAGACAGTAAAACTGGATGGTCCTGAATGGATCTGCGGGATGGGGCAGCAACAGGGCTGCCCTCAGCCCGCTTTTTGACTGCTGATGCTGCCGCTGTGACAGAGAGAGTGTGTTTTCATATCTGGTTCGGCACATCAAAGTTTAAAAAGGGAACTGCGAGCTTGGTGTAAGTGTGAGAAAAAGCAAAAAAAGGTGAGAGGGAGCGAAAGTCAAAAGTTGGAGGAGGAAGAGGTAGGAAGGCTGCACTTTGCTTCTCCACGAGAGCACTCTGATACATTATTCCCTAACAAAAGCAATGTGTGAAGAGAAATTATTCATACATTTGCATAAAAAACATTTGTTTGATCAAATTAATGGCTTTTGTTGCGTATATGTGTGAGTGTGTCAGTGTTTTGCAAATGTTAAGAGCAGAGACAGCTAAAATTAATCTCTAAATGGTGGGAAGATAAAACGGAAAAAAGAAAAGGTGATGTACTACAAAGTTAAGCAGAGCATCAATATGTTTTAACTAATGCTTAACCAGACAAGGACTGTGTAGACTGAATATTTAGGTGTTAACAGATCATGCAGTCACTGTGCTACATGTTCATATTTTTGTAGCCTCACTGGCAGTAGTTATTTTGGTTACACGTTATAGACCATAGAATTACATGGCATGTCTGTGCCTATTCCAGCAAAAGCTCAGGAGTTTGACATATTGCTGCACAAGTGCTGTTATGACCTAACACGCTGAAATCCAAATTAAGATGCAAATATTCTTTAATCTGGTTCAATCAAATTTTTAAAGCCATCACTCAGATCTTTCCCTTTCCCCTTTTCAACCATTCAGCTCTTCGTCTATTTTTAACTATTCTTAAGAACAGGCAGACAGGCTGCACTTGGAAGCAGGGCTGGTTTTAGCAGAGAAAAAAAAAAACGCACACGAGTCCTACTTCACTCTATTTCTGGAATATCAAAAGGCTGGACCCGTGTTCTAATAATATAGCTCAAAGCAGAATTTAAAAATTTCCCTGTTTGTCCAGAAATAGTTCTCAAAACCACTTTGGAAGCTTACAATGCGTGTACTCCTTAGCTTTAATCACCTTACTTTTATATATTTACCTACTTGTAGTGGTAAGCAAAGATGATGAACAACAAAACACGCAGGCAAACAAGTTATCCTTCAGTAACCAGACAAATAACATTAACATTCAGATTTAGATAAAACTGCTTGTCAAGTATTTGTAAAGCTCCAAAGTCTAATGGTCTCAGAAGGTTTACAGAGGTAGAAGAATCTTTTTTTTCTATATCAGGAATGACATTTAAAAAAGGGACATTCTTCTGGTTATTTTGTGTTTTTTTAAAAGTGTTTTAGGAGCAGTACCAACTAAATGTCAGTCTTGACTCTGCTTCCATACTCTCATTTCACACTGACACACACACATACACTTTCATGCATGCCCACGCCTCTATGCATTCATCCGCAGAGTGGAGGAACACATCCTCAAACACACACACACACGTACACGCACGTACATGCAGAGAAAGAACAATGGCCTAAGCCCACAGCTGAAAAACAAACAGACAGGGAGATGTCTAAAAGCTCTCAAGATGAGAGCTGCATGCAAATTGTTCTTTTGACAGTATCCTTTCCTCCTCACTCACCACTCTACCACAACAGAGATACAGAGACAGAGTGAGAACGACAGAGCGAGAGAGAGGAAGAGAGAAAGAGAGAGAGAGAGAGGGAGGGAGGGAAAGAGAGAGAGAGAGAGAGAGAAAGAGAGAGGGGAAGATCAGAGAGGAAGGAGAGAATAGTATCTAGCCATAACAGAGTTGATTGGAGAGGGCCTTATTAAATCTGTTTACATTCCCTGCTGAGCTCCATTCTGTCAGAGAGACTTTCAACTCCATGGGACGCTTTCTAAGGAGTTTTTTTACACCAAAATGGCTGCCTCTAATTAACAGGGACCTGCCGAGTCCCAGTGGCCAATTATATTCCTCTCCTTGTCCCTGCCCACCAGCATTTGTGCAGCTCAGCGGTCCACTTCATGTTGGTTGGGGACACTCTGGCTGCCCCTGCTCTCCTGCTGTGGAGCACAGCAATGTGGACAGAACTTATGGCATGTCCTGTCGACTCGCTACAACACACAGCCCTCCGTGGCTCTCAGCTTCAAGACCCTGCTTCTTTTTACTTACAAGTAATAATTCTACTCGTGTACGAGGCAGAGGCAGAGGCAGCACTCTGCTCCCAGATAAAACTATACATGTGGACCATGTGACAAACGTGTGATTTTATACTTGATTGACTTGGCAAAAACAGTCATTCTTATCAGTGTCAAGATACCTGATGGTCATTCTTTAACTGGCATCTTACGCTTTAGTTAGCATGACACAAACTATGTTGGAGCTATAGCTGCAGCACTGCGCCAAGCGTATGAAAGGAACCATTACTTCTGTTTTTAATGGTTGCTGAAGTGCTTAATACCAAGGAAAGCTAAGGGAAAAAAACAACTGTGGTGATAAACTTGAGTAAGTGTTTATGTGTCTTCAAAGCAGCACAGGTTATTGTGAATACAACTTTGTATAGATCAATAAGGAATACAAAGCACAACTGATTTATAATATAATGAATGTAGTAAGACTAAAACAACCATGTTTATGTTTATGAAAATGTTAAAACCACAAGTATCTTCAAATACATAAGATAAATAAGTACTCAGATGCAGAATGTTGCTTTTCTCTAATATCTGCAAACCGTTCCTTTTTCCCCTGCAGTACCCAGTCCTCACCCCACACATCAATCTCATCCATTAATCCAACTGTCTCAGTCAGCAGCATCACCAGCCAGTGCATTTTGATGTGAACACAGTACAATATCAGATCATATTACTTCATGGGTGTGTAAAATGGCTGGTGCCATCCATTTGGCAGCAGTAGTCTCCTTACCATCTTTGGCTGTGTCAGCAATCCCTTCTCTGCCCAGCCCTGGAGCTGTGGGAGCTCTGCCTGACGCCACTGTGTCTCTGTCGACCCCTATGGAGCGGAGCACAGGGAGGAAGGGACGCACAGCCCACCGTCAACATCATACACTCACTTTAGAAGGTTGGGGGGATGTGTGGTGGGATTTGGGGATTGGGGAGATTTTGGGATGATGGGGGAAAATGGCAGTCACTGGAAAAAAATAACACTTAACATTTTTTGCAGTCAAGCCACCAGTCAAACTAAAAGACAAAGGTGGCTCAGAGTTTTTGCTTTGTCTGGTTTGTCTGACTAAAAAGATTGCTTTGTCGCTAGAGAGAATAGATTGAAATGATGATTAATTTAGAGACCGTTTTTCTCAAATTGGTAAAATATTTCTCTGCACCAAAAATAAAGTTGCTTTGACAGAAATGGGGTAATTTCATATTATTTCTGAAGTTGTTTCGGTAGTTTTGAAGAATTGAAGAGAATTGCATGCGCGTGTTGGAGGCAGCAGATTGGTGTGCTGACTGCAATGACCTCTGCAGAGTTTATAATGAGGGTTTCCCTCTTGCTCTCTGTGGGTAAACAAGCCTGTGGTTGAAGAGACAGAGATGCCACAAATGAGCAGGAAGTCTGTTCACTAGCTCTCTAGAGCAGGGGGGGGGCTTAAATGCCTGCAGCCATCTACGGATGCTACAAGCAGCCAATTTAACAGGAGAGGAGGAAGAGAGGAGGGATGACCTCTGCCTTCATTTACTCCTTTAGAGAGATGAGGAGAGGGAGTGAGGGATCAGATGGGAGGAGGAAGAAAAAGGCAAGGACTGAGTAATGGGGAAGACACTTCCAATACTTCAAAGAAAGAGACAGAGGTGATGAGGGGAGGAGAGAAAGAGAGAGTCTGTACATGTTCTGTTGTCAATGTGTCTTGTAAACTTAGGCAGGAATGCATAATGGAGGTCTAAATGAGCGTGAACTGTCAGCTTGAAAGGGAAAAAGAAGATACAGAAGGGCAGAGAGGTCAGGGTAGAAAAGAGGACAAGGAATATTGTTTCTGCTGGCTGACAGGTATGAAAGATATTGAGATATTTTAAACATATTCATAAAGAAAGAGCAAGTCGAGCCACCTTTGTTCCTTTGCTTTAGTCTGTCTGGTGAGGGCTAAAGGGTATCTGTGGATTAATGGTTTTAGCACCGATATGACAATATTTTTCTGTATATTTTTAATCCATTTGTTGAAAATGTCCAATTCCAAATCTGCATGAGCTAAATTTCTTAGGATTTCAGCTGACAAGTAAACCTTATGTAAAAGCCAGTATATGTAGGGATGTAACGATACACTCAACTTGCTGTAATTTAAGATGCAGCACAAAACTGTTCATTGTGATGCCTTATTTTGCTGGTCTGCTGTGGTATTCCGTCTCACTGCTTTTTACTCAATTTCTGTTTTGAAAGAAATAAATGCTTTAATTTTCAGAGGGTGCAAAAGCTAACTGGACTAGGTCATAACATTACAGGGGTGAATGGAGACAGCTAAAACAACAGTCAAAGGCAGAAACGATGTTTGACATATTAGCATGTTTTAAGCACAGGCTCTTTGGTTGTCATAAAATTGACAGTTCCATCTTTTTTTCTCTAACCTTACTCCTCTAGTTACTCGCAGAGCAGGTGGGGAGATTCTACTCTGGACACGTACACAAGGAGTAGAGAGGGAGATTATCTTCTAATGTAAGCTAGTTCAAAGCTGATGGCAATTTTGGCATTACAAAAACTGAGTTAAAATAGTAAATATCATCCCCTTTGTGAGGGGGATTGATGTTGTATCCTCAACTTCAAAATCTTCCATCTCTTCTGCCATGTTGAACACCTCTATTAAGCTGCAGATGTAAGAGATGCTGTGACATCTTACAGGTGAAGTCCACTGCAGATAGCACCCTCTGCTGTATAAAAATGGTACTGCCATTCTCTTTTTGTCTCACCAATTAAAAGTGCAGATTTTAAACTGTCTTGTGAAGGTACCGTTACATCCCTAGTACATTGTACCTCATTTATAACAGCGAAAAAGACCCTAGATAAAAAAGGCCGTATAAACTACAGCTTGCAGCCATCACAGGAACAGTAGACTATTTTCATTCAGAGGGCACAAGACAATATCCAGCTATAAATTATAAAGTTGAAAAGCTACCCTGAAAAAAGGAAAATGTTAGGAGGAGCTGAAACATCAATAGCACTTTCCACCCATTCTGCAAAGCTGTCATTGTAAACACCATCAGTGCGGAGGGGAATGGTGCGTCGCGGCAAGCAGACAGTGCAGTGTTATTGTAGTATGTACAAATGTGGTGATAAAATGTAAGAAGCAGCAAGCAGATGTGTATGATTCTCCATTTTGACAGCCAACATTAAGAGCGGGGGAGCATGGTTTTGGCAAAAAAGGAATGTCACATTTCTCAGAAGTGTGTTTAAGTCTCTGCAACCCCATTTTTGAACCACTACTAAGTGCTCAATATTCAATGCTCAACCATTCAATAAAATAAACAGTCTAAGGCATGACAAATACACACACACACGCACGCACGCACACACACACACGACTACAGAGTTTTTGCTGCCCTTGCTTTATCACATGAACACACACATGTGAGTCTGCTGATAAAATCTCGAGTAACACTGGAATGAGGGTGCAATGCAATTACATTCAGCAACCACTGAGATGAGAAACCGCTCATGGATACATTTTCAATTATTCAGGGAATACATTTCAGTTGGTGCTCGGATGCTAGGAAAACTTATTATATAATCAATACACTCTATAATGCCATTAATATTTGATGCCACAGAAGTGCTTCCTGTCTCCTCAGGCACCCGGCCAGCGGTGTCTGCAGTCAAATACAACAAGCCTTATCCTCCTTCAGCAAGAAAGGGGAGAAAACATTTGTTCTTGTCTAACAGCCCAAATATACCCGAGACAACTTACTTCTATGTCTACTGTGTATGAATCAATGTTTGTGTGTATGATTTCCATACTCACAAAGATATCACATGATCGAAAATTTGATTCTGTGTCTCACTTTCTTTTCTTTCTTTTTTTTTTGTTTTAACCTTTGTCACTTCTCTGATGCTTCTGCACCCTGAAACCACCGCTGTATATTTGCTGGCCTGGTGCAAGCTTCCCTCCCCCTTTTTTTTTTCAGAGCTTAGACAATCAATTTAGCCTGACTTGGCCAGGATAGATGGAAGCTGTTGAGACTGCGGAGTAGACAGTATGCAGCAGGATCTCTCGGCTGATAGACACGCTGCCTGGCAGCTACAAAATGGAGCCAGCATGCAACCATCTGACTTGCTAGACTTTGCCTTACCATCTTGCTTCCGATATAATTTATTTCCTTATGCCATATGAATCTTGTTTATTTATTTCTCATTGTTTGGCTTTGTAAGAATGGAACATATGATGACTAATTTATTATGAGAACACAAAAATTCACAGAAAATTTGTGCTTGTTTGTTCCTTTCTTACGACCGTAAACCAGCCACAAATGATGCTGCTCGACTCTCGCTGGCACTCCTTCTTAGTACCCTAGAGTGATACTGAATTGTAGTTTGTGATACTGAATTGGAGTTCCTATCAAACCGGCTGAGACACAAAGAGATTAATTCGACTTTACTATCTCTATGTCTTCGGCGGTATAGTTCCCTGTAATGCTCTCTGTGCTATTGATTTTTTATTTTTTCTCTCTGCTCCCTTTCTTCCTGGCTGTCTTCTTTTCGCCATCACTCCACCTTCACCAGCATCTTCCGAAGCTCTCAAACGTCCTGCAGGTCAGGCGGATGCTGGGCTGGATCAATCACGGAAAGTAATCTGGGACGCCTTATGCACACACGGGCATGCACAGACACACAATACAACACATCACAGATCCTCGCTGACACACACCCTTCCTCTGTTGCACTCTGGTCTGCCTGCCTCCAGTCTCATCGATCTGCATCTACTTTACCAAATGGATTCTTCTCTTCTTCTATCTTCCTCCACTTCTTTTCTCTCTGTGTGACTCGGAATAATAAATGTTCCAGACTGTGCAAGACGTGTACGTAAGCAATTTTTCATTTAACTTTGGCTTGACTTCACTCCCCCTCTCTTCTTTCTCCTTTGTGATGTTTCAGTCTTTCAGGGAGATCGATGCAGTTTTTCCCACACACTCTCTCACAGCCCCTGGGTAATCTACACACATTTGTGTAAGGTCAAAGGTCAGGAGATGACAGAAAACAGCCTATTCCCAGGGGGCTATTACAGACAGGATAGAAACAATACGCTCAAAATTCTAATTCAAAGAGAACTTTAAGATTATTCGACAATCGTTCTGGTTTTATATCTTAAGTATTCTTCAGTGTCACTTATCTCTGAATGCTGAAAAGTCAAGTATAACAAGAATTTGCTATGTTTGCATTAAATGTTCACCACTGAAGTATATACTCGGCTTCATTATATCCATCCAAAAACTTTTCCTAAGAACTATTTCAGGCTGCTTTGTCGGCAGTCAAAAGACAAAACACCTGCAACACTCTTTACATGCAGCCGCATTCTCTCTTAAACATACACAGAAAATGACAAATTACACACACACACACATACCACAGTCTCCTTTTGCTCAGCCAAACTGTAGGTGGAACTGAAGCCATTTGTCCACTGGCTGAATCCCAACTCTGCACCAACACATGCAGAAAATTGGTGAGCATCTTGACTCTGGAGATGACACTTCAATTTGTGCAGCTCCACTGACTGGTGCTCTGCAGTTCCTCCCTTGTGGGGGTGTGAGATCAGCTGGACACCTGCCTGGCTGTTTTGGCTGAAGCCTGCAGCGCGGGGACTAAGCCTTGGAAGTGAAGGTCTGGCCTTGCCTGTCAGCCCAAACTCCCTGTCCCCCAGCCCTAAACCTAGCCTTGCCTCTAAGGTCCTCATCACAGCTCCCCTAGTTTCACTCCAGTGCCAGCGACCATCCCTCTATTGATGCCCCTGACCCCTATTTCTATATCCAGTCCTCCGCTGAAACTCTAAGCAGCACCATCATCATCCTAACAGCAGTCTCCCTTTGAACAGCATCAAATCCCAATCAACACCCTTGCCAGTCTTTGTTCCTGTAGTGGCTGCTAACATCCCTGTCTCCAGCTCAGTTCAAGTCTCTGCTGTGCATCGCTGTCTGTCCTGCTGCAATCCCTTGGTGTGACGGATGGGACTGATCACTGTCGAAGCCCTCAGCAAGACATTTTGCTGGATTAAAGAGGCTAAATCACCGTCTCATCCCCTACATGGGATTCTCTGCTTAATTAAATGTCATTAATGTGGTTAAAGGTTTTAGTGGAGATGATATCTATCTAGTATGTAGGGCTTATTCGGTAAGAATTAACCCTGTTTCTTTGGATGGTAGCACAAAAGACGCATTGTGAGGAAGGGAAAGGGGGTAAAAAACTAGCTGGAGAGACAGCATCAGGCTACATGAGGCCTGTCATTTAAAATGACATACAAGGGTTATCCTCCCTCTTCCATTTTCCCTTTCATTCTCCCTCTTTTACAACACAAAAATCGCACTTCCTATGACTTTATGTAAACCCTACTCACTGTCACTGTTCTATAAATACATATTTGTGTAAGTGACATTTCAACAACACCTGCAATACTCTGGATTGTACTTCAGGGTGACAGCGTGTGCCCATTTCTATGTCAGGCTTGAGTTTCTTTTAGCTGGGCCGGGGCGGAGGATAGAGGACACAGGACAGACAGTGAAGCAGGGAAAGCAGGCAGGCTGATCCATCTGAGTCAGCACCATGTGTCATGAAGTGAGGACACCACCTCCACAAGTAGCTGGCAGGTAAAAGCAGCCGCGCACCTGTGCAGGCAACCAGCCATTTTAGCTAGGCTGTCTCCTATCTTTAGCGAAATACACTCAAACCCACTGGCAAGTACATAAACAAACATATAAAAACATGCACAAACACACACAGATTCGTATCTCTGTGACTGCTGTAACTGTGCCCACCTGCATGTATCGGGTCAGGGAAAAGGCAAGTCAGCAGTGCTATGCTATTTCAACCCACCAGAAAACAACTGTATATTCCTTGCTTACACAAACCTAGAAGTATATGTGTTATGTGGATTAAAAAAAAAACTTAATTAGCTGAGAGAACTTCCCCCAAAGTGGTCTCTAAGAATATTTTTCCTTGAGCAACAAAATAAGAAACCTGTAAACTCCTCTGACTGAACTTTTTTTTTCAGTATAATTCATAGAAGTTCTAATTAAAACTGGTTTGAGGCAGGAAGTGGTAATATTGGCTTTGTTGAACAGGTATTTAAAAAGCTCTAAACAGCCTGAAGGAAAATGATAAGAACGAAAAATCTACAGCACAGCACTTACACCGAGAACAAGGCAGAGAGGAGAAGCAGAGCCAGAGCACTTCCTAATCTAATCACTGTTTCCCCCATCAGCTGCATCTCAGACACAGCCTGCTCGTATATGTGTGTTTCTCTGTGTGTGTAAGAGAGTGTGTGAGTGAGTGAGTGAGTGTGTCTGCCTTGCAGCAAAGAGAGCTAAATCACATAGACACTAACCGAACCGTTGTACTTGAGAATTCATTCCACAGCCTTGGGTTCTTTGTGAGGGTGTGGCTGATTACACGTGTGTTTGTGCTTTTGTGTGTGTGTGTGTGTGTGTGTGTGTGTGTGTGTGTGTGTGTGTGTGTTTGTGCCCGACTAATCTGGTTATTGATTCTGCTCTGGACTGGAGCTCATATAATCAAATAGCTGTGAGGGGAAAGGACAGCCGTCCGTCATCTGTCTTAATGAGTAAACAGTTTGATGGAGGCAATGAATAACTGGAAGCTACATGTCGAGGAGGTTACTACATCTCCGACAGACGGCTAAGCTAAAATGTTTTTATTGTCGGGCAAATCTCTTGGCAACCCTCTTTATCTGCTGAGTGACATTATGAATTATCCAATTACTTCAATCCTCTTTTCATACAACACACACACCTGATACAGATACGAGCCTGGTGGCATTTGAATACTCAGCCATGTTGCCTGAAAACATCTCCTTTTTAAAGGTGTTATAACTGAAAAAAGCTTTACCTGTGCTGTAAAGTTGCTTTGTACTAGTGATTACACAATTAACTTTGAGTTTGACTTGAGGATCTGTGAAAATCTCATCTTAGTGCATCTCCATGTGAGAGTGGTGAATTGAGAATAGCTCCTGCTGCAGTAGAGAGAGGGGGAGCGACAAAAGCCTGAATCTTTACCAGCAATGGTTAACAGCCGAGGCCCACAGCACACCAGCTAAACCATTAAGTGTGGCGTGCGTTCAAACGAGCAGATTAATCCCCCCTACTGCTGTACAGTACTGAGTAATTGAAAATGCCCACAGGAGACTATCTCTGCATGTGCCGGGGAGGTGACGTATAGAAAGGCGGTGGCTGATTGCCATAGAAAATTCTGCAATTGCGTTTATTCTGACAGCGAGTGCTGAAGAGCCGCACAGCTGTGAGATAGCACACATTTATCTCCTCACCACTCCTATTTTTCTCACTTCTTTTCTTTTCTCTCTCGGACATTTTCCTCGCTTTACCTCCCAATACCAACCTGACAGGTGTGCTTTATGCCTGCTGCTGACATTTATCAGTCTTGATAAGCATCCGATATCACGGTCCCTCCAAATCCATCTAGTTTTGCTATGTAGGAAGGACTGCAGCTCTGAAGATTCAAAGGGACCGTGTATTGGCAGAGAGGATTCATATTGCTGTTGGGACAAACACCTCCTTTATCAGAATAACTATCTCAGACTGTAGCCTAATAACTGCAGCTGAGGCTAGCTTATTTCTATTTCTGGTCTTACATGTGCTACATCAAACAGAAAAATCAGAACTTCGACCAACCAGAGATTTTCTGATACCAGCTTTTCCTTCAAGCTACTCATTCTGATACTAAGTCAACAGTACAGGCAGACACCGTATTTAAAAACGTAAACATATGATCAGTGCACTAACCTTAACCTTAATTCACCTAAAACCAGATGATCTTCAGGGGGTGAATGATTTATGGACTTGCCGCCATAACTGATCAGTTCAGGCACTGATATGTCCTGAGAGCCATTCAGGACAAATGATTGACTACATTCCTCCGGTGGACACAGTTCAGTTTGTTATTTCTAAAGTTTAAACTGAGTTGGGAGAAAGCTTTTAGGTTTTTGGTTCCTCTGCCTGGAACAACAGACTGATTTTAAAACACAACATTAAGTTGTTCTTCGATAGTCAGCAAAATTTCTCGGGCTTTCTGTAAGCAAATGTTCAAACTAATCAATAAAATTTTATTTATTTACTGTATGAGTGTCATTGATTTTTCATTGAAAAAAATGTTTAGGTATAATTCCTCTATTTCCTGCATTAACTGTCATAATTTACAAGGAGATAGCTTTTCCTTTTAGATGGAGTCTGTCAGCTTTCAGGGTCACTAACCACAACCGACTTGCAGATGGACATTTCATATCCCCTCTCCTGTTTCTGTGGTATTTGCCTGTGTCCTGGTGTATCGCAAAGAGCAGCATCAGCCTTTTACACCCCTGCGCTAGAGTTGCAAATGACAAGAAAAGGCAGGCTGGAGGCTGTAGTGTGTTTGTAGGCTTTAATGTGTCTATTACCAACCACAATGGTGCCATTTTGTAGCATGTTCAGTTGCATGTTCGATCTATAATTCATCTGGCTACAGAAATGTATAAATGTTTAATATGTCAGAGGCGATGAGGCCTGTCGAAAGCGTGACCTTGGAACGTCCTTTAAACATCACAAAGCAACAGCAGAGGGGCCAGTTAAGCTTGCCGAAGCCAAACAACAGGGAACATGCACATACATGCTCTTTCATATACACACACACATACACGCACACTCTCTCACACCCGGCCTGTCTGCCTGCTGATGCTTTCTGCTGCTTTCTGTTCCCCTTTTTTCCTAGGATGCAAAATGCAGATGAGACGAGTCAGCCGCTTGTGCACAGTCTCAGGAGAAACTGCCACTCAAATCCAAACATCTGTATGAAATACCAAAACACACAGGGTACAGTGGAGGATGAGAGAGGGTGGAAGGAAAGAAGGGAGAGAGAGGGAGAGAGAGAGGATCGAGAAAGGATGAGCGGTAAAGTAGCTAAGAAAGCCAGTGTTCGTCTCTCCTTCTGTAGCTTTGAGTGAACAAAGAGCTATATACACATGAATACCTCTCTCCTCCCACTGTATTTTCCATCGGGATATTTATTCTGAAAAGCAGTGATGCACAACAAGGGCTCGGTCCTGTGTTTGCTAGTGGGCTGAGGCGCTAACACTCCCCAGCTGATTATGTGTCTGTCTGTAGCAGTTTGAGCTGCTGCCAAAGGAATTAGGTCTAGTATTTGTGAATGCTGCTCCCCTCACAGCAGAATGCCTTGCCATGCCTCTCAGATTTCTAGCTTTTTAAAAAAGAGAAGGGGAATAAAACATTTTAAATAAATGAAGGAAATCGCTGTGGAAGCCTATTAAATTTTCAACGTGACCGTTTTGTGAGTCTTCATGTGTGTTTAGGCTTCACACAAAAGGAATATTTAAAAACCAAAGCGTGCTAATTGGGACAGAGATTGTTACAGCGGCTTCTTATTCAAACAGGCTTTTGGCTCATTAACTGCTTCCATCCAGCTTTTGTTTAAGGGAAAGTGGAAGAGACATCTAAAGGCAATGAAATATTTTACAATATTTGTATAGACACTGTACCACCAAAATACTGACTGCGTACTATACTGACAAAAATACGCCAGAGGCAAATTCAGAACATCAGTAACAGGTCCACAGTATGACTCTCTCCCTACTGCTGTATCATAGTGGGGTCAAAACACACAAACATTTAACCGTTACTTGGTAATAGCTACTTTATTTTTTTACCGACCAAGTTAGTTTCACTTGAGAAGTATGTTTTTATCATGTAGCAATGCAGTGAATCATTCTTGCCATAGAATAACATTTTGTCTTAATAGTAATAACTTGATGTATTTTTGCAGCGCTAACACTTATAAAGAATAAACCATACACATTGTATTAGCAAGGATCAGATTTGCCCTCCTATATTTGGATTGAGGAACCAAAGACCTTCAAGTTTGAGGGAATTTATTTAACATGCAAAGTATCATACTTTTTTGAGTTTAAAAAAAACAAACACTTTTTTTTCATAGTTCAGGAGTTCCTGTTGTCCTCTAAGACATTCATCCACTCATCTGTTATGAGATTTAATGTTTTTGACTCCAATCCATGCAAACACACTATCATTACTTCTATGATAAAGAGCCATGACTAATTGCAATGTTGGGTCAAAGTTAATATTGTAAACATGTAATTACAACCCTTCCTCCAAATGATCTGTTTTGTTTTTGCACCTGACTGCAGCTGACCATTTACCAAACATTTAAAACATTTATATAATACAAACATAGACACACACACAAACAGCAGCTATCTAATGTATGTTTATCCACATCCATATTAATTAACTACATGCATGAACTGTATTAGGATTACATGAACACAAACTCTCAGTGTGACGGTCTGACATTTCATTGCTCTGTAGCTAATTAGAGTGGATGTGAAAACTACAGGGCAACCTCTGAGTGTGAAAAACAAATTAAACATGTCTATGCCTACAAAGTAAGGATACTAAAGCCCCCTACTTAGCTGCTATTTGCATCTTGTTCCCACTATTGGTGGTCTTTCATGTGAGTTTAGATTTTAAAAAGTCACAACACTACGTAATAAAATATTCCAAAAGAGCCACAAGCAGAAAGCTCACCACATACACCCACTATGTCCACCCAAAAAGGACATTTCTGCTGCTGAGTTAAACAATCACAAACTATCAAATTAGCCATGCATGCCCCATATGAAAAACTGCTTTACCAGCAAACAAGCACAGTCAGCCCAGGAGAGAAAACTTAAAGGAAGTCAAAACAGGATGTTCAGATTTTCTCTCAACAGAGCTCTAGTCTGGGTGGTCTGTCTCAGTCTGTAAGTGAATAGTTTATGGCAAGAGGCTGCAAATGATCAATAAAGGATTTGATTTTTTTTAACATATTCTGTTCAAAGGCATCCACATTTGTTTTAGTTAGGAGTACGTTAAAAAGGGAGCAGAAAAACCTACTTCACTTTGAGATTTTACATCATTTTAGTTTTGATTTATTTTTGTTTTTCAAAAATTAGGAAATATCTTTACAATCTTTCTACTTTTCTACTTGCATATTGCAAAAATGATTCAAGATGTAACTCTGTCTGTAGTAAATATAATGTGGCACTCCTATCCACAGGCAACTATAGACATCATTTCTTGTGCGCGCACACACACACACACACAAAGGTAATAGTTTCAGTTCTCTCTCTCTCTCTCTCTCTCTCTCTCTTTTTCTCTTTGCTTTGGATTTAATCAGGCTCTATTTAAACATGTCACTCTTCATCTGGACACACGTCAGTCGGCCCCTTAATGTACACACTCGAACAGACACAGCCGATAACACAGACGTACAAAAGACAGCACAAGCTATCACTTCATAAGCTGCTTGTGTATCTCTACTGTCCTTTTACTTTTGCTTTTGTGAGCTTTTTTTCCCATCATTTTCACTTTGTGTTTAAACACTTTTAACTCAACTCAAGGCCTAACCTGCCCAAGCATCCATTCCTCATCATATGTTTCTCTGATCTTCACTTACATTAAAATCCCTGAGCACACACTCGCCTGGTGCGCTGTGGATAACAAATTCCTCACACAACTCTACCCTATTAGCATTGATGTGTAACCTTGGAGCTTGTGGTGTTCTGCCTGAGGGTAATACAGCCACTGTATGTTTGTGTCTATCATTGTGCGTGTGAATGTGTGTCTGTGTGTGAAATCATGGCCTGTCTCTAGCTGAGGTGCCCCACTGGTTCCCATCAGGAGGCTTCATGGTGCACACACTCATATCTAATACCACCAATACTGATTAACATCCCACTTTTCCCCTCCCTACGCCGCTCTTCCTTCTCTTTCATGCACAGCTCCTTCACCCTCTTTTCTCCATAAAACTACCCCCCATGCAAACGATACACACTCTTTCTTTGTGTGAATGTGTACTTACTAATATCCTCATCTTTTATTTTTTACACACACTGAAATGCTAGCTGGGAAAGTCCAGCTAAACAGCACTCCGGCAATTGTCGCCAATCAGGGGAGCCGCCTTTGATTCAATTAGCATTTTGATAGCGTCCAGTGGATGGAAGCCAACACGCAAACAATCAAACATTTGCTTGCCACCAAATGAATAATGCTTGCAGTGTTCTTCATGCAAAATGAAAGTGAGTCAGTCCACTTGGGGGACTGTGACAGAACCATTTTGAAAGCAGATTGATGCCCCCAGAATGCAAAATAATGGTATTGACTCTGTTGTCAGGATGGTGACGCAGTATCTGCAATGAAATAAAACTCGGCCCTATATGACAGGTGAAGATGGAGGAGGAAGAAATATGGCCGCCAGTTATGCTAGTTAACCCCCAGCTCTGACGCTTCAATGTAATGAATGAATGCAGAATTAAAGCGAGTCTCAGGAAGTTGAGCAAAGCAGAAGACTTGGATAGCTCATAATGACTGTGCATGCGGATGATGCTTTACACTGCAAAATTACAATTAAGAAACACAAGCATATTCACACACACGCACCAAAAATGAAATGGATTTTAACTTAGAGAATGCATCAGATCTATCGCAATCCAATCATGCAAGTATGTCCAACACACCTCCTCCATCTTTCCCCAGCTCTGGCACAACACATGGGCAACACAAACTCACTGTGTGTACACAAGCAGCATGATGGATAACATGTCTACACATATAATTAACAAGGACTGCTTTGCATATTAATATATAAACCAACAAAATCCCTTTTTTTCCATCCTGCATTCAGCATGGACAATGTGATTTACATCTCTGCTGCAGTACTATACGCAGGTAAATATTTCAGACTGGTGCAAAGGCAGGGAAAAGGGGGGGACACCTACAGCCCTGACTTCAACATAAAATGGGTGCTGTTCCCTGATTTAACCCTTCCTTCCCTAAGGTCCTCTTTCCCATCTTTGCTTACCTCTACGCCTACCTCTACACCTCTACTACTACCATGATATCTTGCTCCCTCCCATTTATAATCCTGCCCACAATCCTCGCTAGTCTACTGTAACCCCCTGCTTACCCCGCTTCCCTGTGTGGAGAAACTTCGCATTGTGCCAGACAAATAGTTCAATACTACCACTGCATTGCCTGTGCTTTAAGAATATAAAACACACTATCGCTAGGTAGTAGTATCTCTACAATTACAAGCCACTACAGTCACTGGGAGATGCTCGGAAATGAAATGATGGTTAAAAATGAAGAGTGGAGTAAAGTGAAGGCTGTTTCTCTTACCATCTTAAACCCATTCCACTCCATTTGGGAGACGCCAGCCGTTGTCTCACGCTCTCTCTATCCTCACACAACAGCTACAGCAAAGCCTCAGCAAAGAAAATCTCTTACTCTCTTCCTGTCTCACACTGTCTCCTTATTTTCCTCCTCTCTGCCTCTCTTCCTGTTTCTGCCTGAGTCTTAGAGGCATGCAGGGAGCAGCATACTACAGGCATACGGAGCGAGCATCGCCTTCTTCCACAGATGCTGAGAGGAGAATGGTGAGCGTGGATGAGAGAGTGCTGGGCTGCAGCAAGCCTCCCTCCCCTCCCCTCCCTCCTCTCCACAGCCACCCGCCCAGTCCCCTGCTCAACTGGAAGGTCAGATCCCGCCTACTCCCCCCCTCACCTTTCTTTTGGAGTCTGTGATTGGCTTCTTGGCGTGCCTGTCAGCCCCCAGCCTCACCTCCCCCTGCCTTAGCTTTAACACCTTCGCTCTCTTGCTGGCTCTGAGCCCTCCTCGGCACACGCCAGCCTCAGCCCGGTTTGGCAGAGAAAAGGCTTTCTGAATCCCAGCAAAGCAATCAATCGCTGCTGAGGTCTGTGCTTGAGTGAGCCGGGCAGAGCAGCGCGTAGCACAGCTCGAGGAGAGTGATTGCAGCCTCAGGCACTATGGTAATAGGATGCCTGCGCAGCACTGTGTATATAAATTAGCTATTACTGGGTGCATGTTAAAATCCTCTCTACATTTACATGACTGTGTATACAGTCTCATTCTCTCGTAGTCCCTGTCTGTTTCCCTTACAACCTACAACGCACACACACTTTTACGCATCCATACATAGACACATGCCTACAGGGAGGATTTCAGCTGTTACCTTACATAACATTTATTAGGATCCTACAGGAGAAATTTAGGTTATTTTGCTTGACACATATAACATATATTCAGAAATATAATTTAAAAAATAGACATATAACTTGTCTATTACTGGCTCAATTGCAACGCAACACTCAATTGGATGCACGCACCTGCTCATACAGGTGCAACCAATTAACAGGATATGTTAAAGTCTTAGCGCACACATCAAAGGATAAGCGGCGTTAGCAAAACATACTTCTCTCAACCTAGGCCTACGCTTTAACATAACAGTAAATAATGGAGGAAAAGAGAGATATAGGCACAAACATACAATAGAAAACCCACACCTCATCGATATCTACTCACCATGACCATTCTTGTGTCAGGCTACGATAACAGACGGTAAGAGTCCCGACAGACAAACTACAGAAAGTCGGTGAAGTGAGCGCGAGAGTCGGATGGAGTAGCGGCCGCGTGCAGGCAGCGGGAGGATGAATGAACGGTCGTTGTGTGCTGTAGTGAGTGTAGCGGAGCCAAAAACGAAACTGAACGAACCCGTGGGTGTGGAGGACCTGCATGCAGCTCTGTCTCGCTCGAGAGGAGAAACACTCAATTGTCCGTCTGAAAACCGAGGCGAAATTAAAAACAACGACCAAAAGGAAACGGGAGTCCACTCACAGGTTCATAAAAAAACTCCTCTTTTCATTTGCCCCAACAATCTGTTTACGGAATGTCCGCGCAGCTCGTACGGGGTCCCCTATTGGTTAAGGAGGTACCGACGGGGCGGCGCGCTCACGGATGCGAGAGGAGGAGGAGGAGGAGGGTGGTTTGTGTGGTCCAAGACGAAGGGGGTAGGGAAGTATCATACGGGGAGGCAGATGCTTAAGGAGTACAGGTATCTATACTCGCGAAGGCACATAATTCCACACCTGAATACTGATAATTATACCTCCAGCCCACGCCTTAACTTGTACGCGTGGAGTCTTTCCGCCATGGTTTACTTCATTTGTCATTAAGCTTCCATAAGAAGCAGGTTTTGTTGTTGTAGAGTCTCACTGTAGACGCCTTGTTGATAGTGTGTGGTCTCTTTTCCCTATGCTAGAAAAAGACAGTAGCCATCCTAGGTAGTTTTTTTCCCACATTAAAGACAAAACTATACTGAGGTTGATGCCTCATAGGTCCTCATGTCACAGTTTCTTTAAAGCTGTCACTTTTCTATGTATGCATCATAAGTAGCAGTGTTTAAGACTTTTGTTTTACCTTGTTTTCTTTTTGAGATTTGTCTGAAAACTTTTTCTTAAACTACCATCAATCATTATCCTGTATCTTAAAAGAAAACACTTTGTTCCCAGCAGCAAACCTTGCCTCAGGTTGATTGTTGCCAGACTGGACCCTATCTCTGTCAGACAAGAAGAGGGAGCTCTTGCTTCCTTAAACACAGTCACCTGGCGGGCAGGGGTGTAAATGTAAAACTATACATTTATACCAACACACTTGTACACGCAAAATTCACCCACAAAAATTCCCCAAAATATACTCTTTCTGATTAAACACTGTTAAAAATATAGAGGTGTGTATGATAAGGGCTACAGACAGTCCAGAATTCATTACATAGTAAACCATCTTTTACTGTATATTTACACATTCAGCTGTCTCTCTTACACTGGAAATGTCTGCATATAGCCAGACAATGAACCAACTTACAAAACAACTGTGAGATGTCACCTGCCCTTTGCATACATCACAAGTGATCATTTGCTCTCAGCTCCAAAGGCAGGCTAAATTTTGTGAAATATTTAAAACCAGTCCATGCAGCTTACAGTGGTTGGGCATGGCAGCAAGCTGATACTATCTTTAACCTTTAAGTAAAGCATTTTACAAGCTATATACTGATATGAAATGTTTCCTGTGACTCACTGACAGCCACAGCATACGTGAGCCACTGCAGAACTGCAGCATGAACAGTATAGATCACACTTCATGTATCTATACACATAACCTTTGCAGTATGCTGGTATATAAATACAAGTGGGAATCTCAACCACACATTCAAGTAACTACACACGCCTGATTGAATACTCCAAAGAAATGCCATGGTATAAAAGGAAAAAATAGAAAGAAAGAAAAATATGGAAGCAGTGAACTAAAACTCCCTTGCCTCTCTATTTCACCTCTGACCTCCCCACATGTCTAGTTAGCTACAGCAAGCTAGCTAGCCTAGCGGAACCACGCGCCTGACATACTAATGGGAATCACCACTATGCCTTCAATTAAGCTGAAGCAGTATATGTGCACACAGTTACATACACATCCTGAGAGAGAGAGAAAGATAGGCTGAACAAGCATGCTATTGTTTCAGATAGAATAGGATTGCTGGCACACACAGTCTGGAGATTTGTACTGATCATACTGAATATAACACAACGGAGGGAGACAAAGTAATGTAGAGTGAAACACAAAGAAAATGGATTAAAATAGAAGTGCATCTTTGTCTATCTTCTTTTATGTCCCTTCATATCTTTGTCAGCCAAAGAGCAGAAAGAAGCAAAATCTGCAGCTGAATAGTACAGGCAACAAATCCACAGTTTCCTGTCCATGCTTTATCCTCCTGCTCTGACCTTTTCAATGTAATAAAGGCTTTCAGTTGGACCACGGAAAAACCATTCTCCACCTCACTGCCTCTAATATTCTCTTCCCAATCATGTTTTTATTGTTGCTTTTTAATTCCCCGCTGTAAGGAATGGAAAGTCAGATTTATGGAAATGACTTAAGCACTAATCACATCTCTCTGTTTTGTCTTTGTGTGCAGCCAAGATCTAACAGCCTAAAAAAGAGGGTCATCATTTTCTTATTTCATAAAGGATGATATTTTGAAGTTGTTTTTCGCCCTCTGTAATATGATCCAAATAACCTTTTCTTCTAAATGAGAAAATGATTTGAAAGTGAAAATAGTCTCTCACAGTTGCTTGTCCTTTCTCTAAATTGCTCTGCAGGACCATTGTTTTACAAAGCAATGAAAGCAGCGGCCCCTACTCAGTAAATTTGCTATAAACACAATCTATGTTCTGCAGATTGTTTATTTGTATTCTTTATGGTTGGTCTGTTTGTGTGGTGATGATGTACAGAATCATATGAAGATAGAACCACGCTGCTGTCATGTCCTGGTTAAAGGTGCACACAGTGCATTAAAGTAATGCGCATGGACAGATGGAGGGAGTGGTTGAGATATTCTATCAAGGGCAGCATGCTGAGGTACTTAACTGTTTGGATGTTAGAGGTATTACAGCGTAGCTTATTAGCTTGAGAATTTCCTCTTCCTGTAATATCATATATAGAATTTATCTTGCAGTAAGATGCAATATGAATAAAATTAATCTTAGTGTGCAAAAAAGTGTATGTCTATTCATCTTATTAACATTCCCACTTAGTCAGACCTTGCACCAAAAAGTGCATGGCACTGATTGGATGTATTATTTGGCATTTTGGATGATGACTGATGCTAAATAATTTTTGAGGAGCTAAATGATATTTCTTCCATCCTCTAAAGTTTTGAAAGTTAAAAAGCTTTTGTGGCCATAGCCCAGGAGGGCCAGCCATACTATCAGCAATGTGAAACCCCATCTTGCTGATTGGCTCTGGCTCACATCCACAAACACACACAACTGAACCCAAACGAAGTGCATGCACAAGTGTTTATCTCAGCGAAAATGCAGAATGAACGGCGCCGTTTTTGTTCATGATGTGCGTCACAATCTGATGCTGTGACCGCTGTGGAAATGGAGGTTTAAGGGCTAAACAATAAAGTGTGCTTGAGTGTGTGTCTCCAGCCTGCTAACTCAGAAAGCAGAGAGCCAGCTAATTGTCATGAACTTCTCCTGCCCTCTGTTCTGCCCTGCTTGTCCACCCTAAACCACTCCTAGTCCTGGACCTTAATGGATTAACTACAGGCTAATGTTGTCACTTCCTCTATCTGTCTTACTCTTTCTGGTTCTTTTTATTCTTTCACCACGCCCTGAAAAAAATTAAAATGCTGCCTTTGCTGATCCAAAAGTTTGAATGACTCAATATACGAGCGGTATGGTGCATTTTCAAACACAACAAACATCTATCACATACTGTTCTGATATCAAGTGTGAAAAAGCAGGCGTATTAAAGTGTCTGCAGTATAGCAGCTTTGAATATGCAGTGTGCAGACAGTGATAATTGAGGTTGCTCTTGGTTTGAGTATTGTTAACTGTCAGACGCAGTGTTTCAACACCTGCCATATGTTTCACTCTGCATAATAAGACTTCTATTTAAAGGCAAAGAAGTGAAGATGCTAGCAGAGGTGTTACCTCAAAGAGCAGGAAGATAGTACCTTGATTATCAACTAGAGAAGGAAAACTTGTCTTTCCATTTGCTGCGCAGCTTCAGCGCAAATTAAAGTAGGCAAGGACACAAGACAGTAAACAAACGGAATTATTCCTCTGACGCTGTACTGCGACAACTCTGTAATTGAACGCTGTTTTATAACAGAGCTGAGGAGAACAATGCAACACTTATCAGGCCCGGTTGATTTCAATTCAAAATATCACAGCAGCATCTGCAGTAAAAACAGCCTAATACGTTTAATAGCCCAGAACATGCTTCTCAGTATGCAGCAGCTTACTCAGGCTCTTTTTGATTTGCCCTTGAAGGATAGATTTAGTTGCTCTATTGAAGTTCTGGCAGTAGTAGCTTCTTGCTGTGCTACTCAGACTGATGATCGCCTCTTTCCTGGCAGGTGTCCACCCTCTGCCGGTAACAATCAACAAATGAGAATCACAGTCTTCAACTCGCCCATCTCCCTGCCCAGTGACAAACTCCGCATCACTGAACCCCAGACAGCAGACGGCTATTAACACGATGCGGCTGTATCTGCACAACAATGGCCACTTTGGATTCAGCTGACTTTTGTTGTTTGCTTTCAGCGTTAAGACCAAGGGGCTTTATTTTCACAGATCAATAGTGCCAACGTTGTGGATACTGATTTTTGGTAATTTCATGGTCAGAGGCGCACAGAGCACCCGCGTCGCTGTTACATCTTCAATCAAATCACATCTCCTCTTTATCTTCAAAAGCAGGCAGCTCTGTGCCATAATGCACTGACAATTTAGTAATGGAGAGAAGTAGTTTGGAGGAGTGCTGCCACGAAAACTGCTCAAAAAAAAAAAAAGGAAGCTGGTGTCCTTAAGCAGGAGGAGCACCTTATTCAAACCACTGAGAGCAAATGATGTTAAATTATCCTGGGAGAGGACCGTTGAGTTCGCAGCCAGGCACTGAAATACTAAATAGATGCAAATGAGAAGAAAAAAGGGAAAGTAACTCTCAAATCGCAGACATAAAAAAACAACTAAAAGGCATTTAGCGAACACAAATCACAGTGATAATTTCACCCAATTTCAGCTACAAACAAAATCAAGCATTCTCCTGACATCGAGGTCATCTGAATATTGATCCTGAAAACATGTCACCCAGGTCAGAAGTAATATCTTACTCTGCGTCTATAGTTGTGATTAAAGACGCTATTTAATGTTAGGCGCCAAATTTTTGAATTAACAGACTACAAACTCAAATTCATGAATATTCACTCATGCTTATTAGAGACATCTGAACTCGCTAAAAGGGTTAAAACATGTTGGAATCAAGACTGACATGCGATATTTTTTATTGGGTAAAGCTCGAGGCCTTTAGTTCATCGGTCTAATTTTAATTGAACAAAAAATTGGCACCGTACTTAATCAAACATGAACCTGTCACTCTAAAATCCTGTCATTCAAAGTGGTTCCCCTAAAAGGCACACACATGTAAATATACACTATGGTAATATGAATGTTTTGGTTAAAATTAACAAAGCTTTCATCACCCTGTCAAGGCCATAATACACACTTGATTTAACCCCTGCCTGTGTCTGCATCCCTAGAAACTCCTCTGATTAAAAAAAATGAATTCTTCATGCTGATCCCAGAACAAGGCTGTGCTGTATTTGTCAAAGCCACATTCTTCCACTTTTTACTCAAAGCTGTTTGGTATGGCTGGAGCTTTTGCAGACTGCAGAGATGTGACAGGGGGGTTGTTTGAAAGCTCAAGCTGAATGCTGTGTCTCTGTCTGCAGAAAGTCTCCCACAGTGGCTATGTTAACTCTTCAGAAACGTGCTTGTCTTTCATATACTTATGTTCGATTCAAGCTGCTTTTTCAACATTCGGATTAATTGATATGTATACCAGAGCAAGAGCGGAAAACAAATGAGGAAAATATGTGGAATTAAGTCTTAAAAATAATAATCTAAGGCCTTATTTCACTGCCTTTTATTGAAGCGAACACATTGATGTTTTTTTACAGAACAGATAATGATGGGTCTTTGAGGCTGAATCCTCACACAAATGAGAGAAGGTTTGTTGAGGTGCCCAGAGAGGCTTAGCTATGCATTGGCTGTTGAGTCTGGCATGTGTTCTGGCACTGAGAGTGTATTCTCAACAGGACTCTGGTGGATTAGTGTCCATTTGGACAACAGAGTGGTCCGCAGCTTGGGGTGACATTCAACTTTCAGCAGGCCAACAGCTCACACAATGATGGGGAAGTTTAGCCTTGCTGGTAATTGCCATTTATGTGCGGTAAATGTCATGGTATCTTATTGTCCTATTTGGGGTTTCAACGATGACAAACGTGTTTTTTGTTGTTATCCTGACACATATAGTCTTAGCCAAGTGAGTGCGTGTGCAAATGTAGCCATGGCCTTTCTGCCGTGTGGAGGGTCACTGGATCATGGGGTTTAGCAGTGGGCTTCGGGGCTGCGGGGATGGCAGCCCGCTTTACGTTTGATCCCGGTCGGGGTACATCCATGCTCACAGAGCGACTGCTGTGGTCCATCTGGTGGAGGCTTTAATCACAACTCCCACACTTACACACGCACACAAACACACATTATCACACACTGCCACACAGAGCTCCCCACTTGAGATTCTTTAAACTGCAGCTCACTTTTTATTTCCATGATTTATTTCAGTCATTTCTGCAGTCACATATCTCCCCACAGAAACGAGTAACGTTTTCTTCTTCCTCCTCCTCTTCTTCTTTCACAGAGTCTCTGACTAAGACCTCCGGTGGAAAATTATGAGTCACTAAACCACCTGCCAACTGTAATGATGCTTAAAATCTGTCAAAAATCTCACTCTATCAGATCTCCATAAATGGCTGCACTACGGCTTTTGCTTAGGAATAACCTTTAAGGAAATGAGACGCATTCAGAGTCATTCACAGGGCTGGCCTGCGGTACTGTGGACCATAACATGCCCGAGCTGCACAAACCCAGCTCTCCCAAATGTCACTTCATGCTTAACTGCCCTTTCTCATGCTTGAAGAAAAGCGAGCGGGTGATGCACAACAAGAAAAACTCCAGCGGGTTTCAGTTTAAATGCCTACATGCTTTGAGGCATGTTTCAGTTATGTTGTTGAAAAATTTAGCCGAGAAAGTAATAGATTTTCACTGCAACTCCAAAAACCGTTTCTTATTATGAACAGAAAAGAGGATACCGTGTACTGATGCCGCATTCTTCGTCTCTTATGGTATTATACATGCACGGTAAAATAATAGTAGAAAGAGTGAAAGAAAAGCATTCCTCCCACAGAAGTAAGCTCTTGAATATGTCGCTGTAAATTAGCTCACTTTACAGGCAGTGATGTACAGCTCATGGCAGACTCCATGGTTAAGCGTTTAAACCTTAATGCTGCTGTTAGAATACATTCATTATTAAAGAGAGTGAAGGGTTGGCAGATAATGATGATGCTAGGTTGCATCCCTCTAGGGTTGTGTGGAGGTGCTATTTACTGTTAGCTTCCTCTTCACTCAAAAAGAACCTCAGTATTTTCAGCAAATTTCAATACTTTCTCTTGATTTAGCTCGCTGTAAACAATGAAAAACAAAAACCTATCACACTTTAAACAACCTTGATATGTGGGCTTGCAGTGTACGCTGGCCCAAGCTACTGGACACCTCCCAGTGGAGCCATTGGCTAGCTACTGTAACCTTAATGTTCACTTCTTTGCGGCGCTAATGCACAGGTCAGCTGTACATCATTTATTCATGGAGATAGCAGATACTCTGCCTCATCCCCAGCAATTAATGAATCGATAACAAAGCACTGGCTTTGAAACTATCAATTCTGGGAGGACGAAAAAAAAGAGTTGTTCATCAACATGCCAGGATCCCAGACTCGCATCATCACTCATGTATCGGCGGCATTTGTCAGCTCTGCATCAACATGATCTAAGTTGTCAATAGGACGGCACATTTTCTCAACACACCGCTCTTGAAAGGAAATTTACACCTACAAAATGTGTCTGCTCAACATAATATCTCAAATTGGGGTCTACAAAGGGCAAAATCTGTAACATAATTCTAACAAAAGACCATTTAATGTTCTATTTGTCAGAGGATTTTTGTTAGAATTAAGCTTTTTTTTCCTCTTTTGTGATGAAGAGATGACTGAGCTGAAGCCATCCAAGTGAGATTATCACATTTGCACACAGGTCAGTAAAGGGCTCACATTGGCTAATACCTCCTTTGTCAAATTTTATACAGCTGACATATCTACAGCACATTTCGGCATCACTGTCAGGTTTATAATTAATTCAGTAAATCTGCATGATTCAATACACACCCCTGACTGAATGTTATAGCGACCTAAAATGACATAAGATTCAGCTGAATTTAGACCTCACTGTCACTCTGTGGCTGAGGCACTTTTCAATTCTCCAAAATAAAATTCGCAGTGTTTGACTGCAAATAGCAAATTACGGAAAACTCAGCAAATCCGAATACACAATACAACTTCTCTCCAGTTTTGTGTGTTTCATTATTCTCTCCCTATTTATCCTTTTAAGCCGAATGAAATAACTGCAACTGGGTGTGAAAACATTGTCCAAGAGAGGCGACAATTTTAGCTCTGAAATTAAAAGCTTTTCCCCACCGAGCAAAAGAGCAGCGATGGGATTTTTTTTTTAAGAATTTTGAATTAAAGAAGAAAAATGAACAGCAGGAAGTGAGATTATTTTGTTTATTCAACCAATTAAATTGTGGAAATGTAGCCAGTGACTTGAGGTAAATCTGCAGTCCATTTCAGAGGCTCACCGCACATATATAATCACAATTCACTTTGATAAATGTGTGTGTGTGTGCAAGCTTTGCCATAATAGCTGCAATTTACAAGCGTGTGTGTGTGTGTTTTTACGTATCTTTGATGTACATATCTTTCTTTGTTATTTACATACCTTCCCTTCTGATTTTTAGTTGAATAAGTACATTTTAACAGACAATGAAAATAGTGTGTTTTATTGTTGATTTTACAACAATGGCAGTCCTTAGAAAATGCAAACATCTCTATATTAGTTATGTTAAACCTTACAGTTATAGAAATAACAGGAAAGGGAATAATAATGGGTTAAAATCCTCTCATTTGAAGTTTTTGTTTTTAGAGCGGGGGGTAACCTTTTGTTTACATTTGAATATTCGCCCACCTCTTTAATAACACCTCGCTGCTCGTCTGTTGCGGTGACATAATCAGTGTGCTTTTGTTTCGCCACGAGTGTCAAGATACAATCAGCCCCGAGCACAGACTCAACTGCTACTTCTCTCAGAGAAATTACAGGTCATTACTTCCAGGTCAAAATACCTAAACACAGAGAGGTGACCTTTGGCTGGGCGTGGGCGCTTGACAGGCTGCAGCAGGCTGTTCTGTAGGTACACTGTTCTTCGTGGATCACATCCACATCTCTAGCCCTTTTTTTCATCTCATCTACAGTCCAGAGTGTGTGTAAAAATAGGTAATGATCAAAAAGATGTGGGATGAAATACACACAAAATGCACCCTGCGGGTTGTCCAAATTAAAAGGTTTGGAGTCCAGACACACACATACACATACATATACATATACACACGCACACACACACAAAAAAAAATCATACGCAGACTGAGATGAAGATACAGTTAAGAGAAAGAGGGAGTTCACTTGGCTTTACAGTGTGTGTGCGTGCGTTTGCTTTCATGGGTGTGTGAGTGTCCGTGTGTGCGTATGTGCCTGCAGACACCTGCTCCATTCTGCAGTGATGGCTCCCAGCGGGACACAGGCTCAGCTGCTGATCTCAGGGCCCTCCCTGCAGCACTGGTGGCCAGCACACACACACATACATACACACACACACACACACACACACACATATAGACACACGCAGATACATACACGCACACATGCGCAGTCCCTCCACCAGATCTGATCCCTTCAGGCCCCCCCTTGTTGTCTCTCTCAGTCTCACGGTGTTCCCCGTTACTGACAGACCACATGTGCTTGTATCAAGAGCAAATATGACAGGATATACAGACATGCACATATCTGCACAGTCTACGTTCATCTGGTGCTGAATATAAATCCTGCCATATCATACGGTAATAATGTGCTGCACGAATATCTACTGCAGGTATGATACGGTTGAGTAGCATGTTTGTTTTTCTGACCACCTCTTGGCTTAAAATCTCTCCTGATCACTACACTTAATCAAACCACCATTGTGCTGATCTGTTGTTACATTTCGAAAGAAATCCAGCTGAAATTATACAAAAGAAATATTTTGGCCTTTTCTTGTTTGCACTTTTTAATTCCTAACATTGTAAGTCTCATTTTCGAGCAGTATTTTTTAGTTAAATAATGACACAACAAGCCAATTCGCTTTTTTCATTCTTGCATTAATCAACCAAAACCACTGTTGTACTTGTGGCACAATCGTTGTTATTTTTCTCTTTGTTTCTCTTGCTGCGTCTTTCTCCTTTCTGTGGCGTTGAGCAGCAGGCTTGTGGAACATAAATGAACTAATTTCCTGGATATTGAGAACACTGCAATCAAGGAAAGGGGAAGTGCACAAAGCGGGCAGATGGAAGGAGCTAATCATTGTTATGAAATAGAGATGACCTCTAACCATCTCCTGGCTGCTTCGCGAGCTTCTGTGTCCCCCCCCTTTCTACTTCTCTTCCTCTGTCTTTGCCTGTTTGTTGTCGTGGTGGTGATGAACCTCTTCAGGCAGGTCTAAAAAAGCAAATCCCTCTTTTTTTTAATGTTGAAACAGAAAAGATTGGAGTTGTCAAACAAAGCCTGGTGTCACATAGAGAACGGCAGCTGCCTGCAGTGGGTAATCAGTGGAGCTTTCTACAAATTAACAGCATTCAGCTCTGAAGCACGGCGCACTGCAGGTTTTAAGATGTGGGCTTTTTGAAAATTAGATCTCAGTGACTGAAATACGGAATAATTAGCTGCCTGGTTTTTGCCCACATGCTTTTCTAGTTTTATCTGCTTTGCGTAAGGTGACGTGGCTAAGATTGCCCGGTCATCCTAATGCCTGTAAACTGATACTATGGATGCTTGTTTTTCCTTTTTTTTTTTTTCAAACCAGAGAAAAAGGCCCTCGAAATGTCATTAATTGCATGCTGAATCTCTCCTCTGTGTGCCTGGTGGTTTCATAATTTATTTCTTTGAATGCTCTTTTATACAAACTGTCCTAGAGCTTGAAAGATGTATCACTGGAAACACGAACACACACACTCACAGAAAAGACAAGTCATGTAGAGAAAACACACACGCACGCACACACACACACACACACACACACACACACACACACACACACACACACACACACACACACACACACACACACACACACACACAGAGAATGCTCTAAACAAACTGAACACACAGTGGTGCCAGGGGAAGAAATGGTAAACTTTGCTGCAGGCGGGTAGTGTTTTCGAGGACCAAACCATCTCGCTATTTATTCATTTATCAAAGCACTCATTTCATGCAGTGCTGCATTAAATTAAAATACACTTGGGTGCTTTAACTTTAAACATCAATGGTTTAAAAACAGGACGATTCAGGGTCAAAACAACTGATTTATGCTACAATGAATTTATTCCAAATTTTGATTCACAGAGCAGTGTCTTACTGCCATTAAAACGTCGTATTTCCGCTTGATAGTAAAATATGAGATGCTGCATTTGAGGCGTCACACACCAAAGCCACTAGAATCTTGGAGCACATTTATCTAATGTATGCAAATGATCTTGCTGTGCTTAATGAAGGCACTATTAATCACTATAACGATGATCTTTTTTAACCAGGGGAATCATGCGCATGCACACACTAACAACACACACACACACACACGTTTTTCAACCCATGCCTCATCACTAGCAACATGTTGATGACAAATGCACGAAATCACAAAAATAAAACCATCACGAAACCATTTTAGCCGCCTGAAAGTGTGGATAATGAGGAACTCGTAGTCACTTGGCTCAAAATAATAATGTTTTGAAATCATTTTGTTGTTACTTTTTCCATTTAAATCATTTCTACCCTGTTGATAAATTTAGCATGACTTGCATGTAGTCATCTGGTCATCAAGCTGTTTATTAATCACTCGAAATTCTGTTATACCGTTTAATAAGATGGCGATAAGATGCATCATAATATGTTCAAATGTCAATCATATTTATATAATGAATTCAGCTGATTAGTTCCACTGGTTTCAACAAATAATTTACGGTCCAGCAGCTTTATGCAAACAGCAGATAACACTGTTGTGAGTCTTAATGGGCTCTGGAAAAACGCAGTACTTTTGTGTGCTGTATAATAACAACAAAAACACTGGACAGACGTCTTTGAACTCGTGCGAGAAAGCAGAGTAGAAAAACTGGGAAAAACATTTTTGAAGCCCAACTCCTAACAGACGCATTTCACAGCTTATCCTCCACCGTTCATTTGCATACAGTTGACGGAAACCCCTGGGTACAGTCAGCAGCATGACAGTGGGTTATGAAGGCTTCCGGGAGGCTCTGGGGTGTGGATCTGAGCCAGTTTGAAGGGGAGCCGAACCAATGAAGAGCCCACAGCGGATTAGACACCCACAGCTTCATGTCGCTTTAATGCGGCGAGTCAGGGATTTTCTTACAACGCTTTTTTTTTTTTTTTTTTGCCTAAACGCTCAGGGTTTTTCTCATGGCCCTTCTTCCTCTCTCATTCCCTTTCCCTTGAAGTCATATTTTCTATGGAAATGCCAGAGTAATTTTGCCTCCAATGCAAAATATCCAATCTGTGTATTATATAGCTGCTCAATCTGTGACTTCTCTGATGTGTTTTTGGAAATAAATAATATAGAAATCCGTCACAAAGAAACACGACTATATCTCTCCTGAGAAAATCTACTTTATACTTTCTTTCCAAAAACAGTAAAAACGATAGCTTTTTAGGTGTACTGCTGATATCTAGTTATATCTTTACTCCAAAATTCAATTCACCATCATGAGGCAAAAAAACATTTCTGCAAATACAAGAGAAAATGTCAGAATTCTCATAATAAAAACCATAAAATATATTTTACCCGCACAAACACACTCACACGCGTGTGCACACACGCTAACACCTCAAATTCCCCTGATAACATCCTGACTGGCAGAGGCTAAAGACGGAGTAGGCGTCCATAATTGAACAAACATAACAATGTAAATATTTACTAATATCATCCACTGGGGATACAGGCGGAATCCCACAATTGATTTGCTCTCTTTTTGCCCTTTTGCTCTTTTCTCACACACAGATCCACAAAACTATCGCTGTTTTCTTTTACTCCTTTCTTCCTATTGCCTGTGTTCATTAAAGAGACAGAGATATATTGGTCCGTCTATCCTCTTACCAGGGGTGACCTGTAGCCCATCTGGGCTGGCGATGACAGGAGATCCCTGGGAAATAGCGGCGAGTGCGTCTCGGGGACGGAGCCCACGCCACTGGCTGCTAGTCCCGAGAGCTGCCCGCACCTCGCCATCATCTTGAGATGCTGCTCACAGAACACACACGCTCATACACAGACACAGGAGGAGAGGGGAGGAGAAAAAAGAGGAAGAGGGAGAGGGAGAGAGGGGGTAAAAGAGAAAAGGTAGGGGTGTGAGAGGAGGGAAGGAGAGCAGATAACAGCAGGTAGGAAGGACACGAGGATGGTAAAGGACAGAAGAGGGAGTTTAGGGAGGGGGGATGAAGAATGAGGAGGTAGAGGGGGATTACAGAACACTTTGCTCTCACACAAATGCATGTGTGAAGGCACATACAGTCAAACCCACCCGCACTTACAGCCACACTATACGTTTGCATGAGAGCACACATACAATTTTAGCCCCAGGTGGGCAATTTCACAAGCAAGCCTGTGCTGCAAGGGTCTGATAGCTACCTTGGTTTTGTTACACTGGAAATATCTTAAGTCTAGATACTAGCTCTCCAGAAACGTGGCGGTCCCCTCTTCTTCTTCTTCTTCATCCAGAATACCATGTCCAGGAAATATACACTAATAAGCAGCTGCTGTAATCAATCATCCCCTCTGTTTTTTTGGCTATGAGCATACACAAGTGTACAGACGCACACATGCACGGACATATAAGACACACATGACAGAATGGTTGGCAGCAGACATACACAGGTGAGGTGTGAAGAAAGAAGCAAAATGGAAATATCTCTTTACCTCATTGCTCAACAAAGCGGCGTTGAGTGTTCGGCTTATTTCGAACATGTTCAGATTTGGTGCGTATTTTTCTTTTGTTCTGTCCTGTAAATTTTTTCAGATTCTCTTCAGTTCTTTTGCTCCCCCCTTCTTTCTTTCTATAAGGTTGGGAGTCAGTCCGGGTAAGAAAAAAAAAGAAAGAAGGAAAGAAAAAAATCAATTGGAAAAAAAAGAGGGGTAAAAATCCTCTTTAATTTTCAGATTTTTTTGGAGTTGTGACTTATCAGAGCTCTGTTTCTTGTCTCTCTCTCTCTTTCCCTTGTCTGGTGATGCACCTCTGCTGGCTGTTGTGGCTGTAGTGGTGGCGTTTTGTGCCCAGGGTCTCCGCACACGTCTTAGGAGTCAATATGCTGCTTCTTTTTTTTTTAAATCTCCCCAGAGTCAGCACATTAAAACAGGCAGTCAGGCGGACGGTGGGTCGGTGGGTCGGGCTGGCGGGCTGGCTGGCTCCCTTATCTGTCCCCCGCACACTGGCTCACACAATACGCTCCGATCCTCACACTGCTCGCTAGCAGATTAGCCTGTCCCACAACATAGCACTTAGTTTAAACTCCCCTCCCTTTTTGCTCTCTCTCTCTCTTTCTCGCTCTCTCTCTCTGTATCACTCCCTCTGGCTCTCTCCTCTGCTCTCCCTCCCTCTCTCTCCTTCTTGCTCTATCTCTCTCACTCCATCTCTCTCTGCATCACTCTCTCTCTCCTCCCCGTTGCTCACGCATTGATGCAGCTACAGTTCGCTGTGCTACCACAAGGTGGGAAGACTGTTCTAGCAACAGCAGCACCATCGCCGCCACATCCCTTTCCTCACTGTGCCACTCCTATCTTTTTAGATTTTCTTCTCTTTTCTCCTCCTTTTCCTTGTGTCTGTAACACGCAGCCATTGACTTTTGGAAAACATTTGTTACTCCCTGCCTAGATCAAACATGCAACCAGGGATACATGAATTGTTTAGGGTAGTATTTTGGGCTTCTGTTATCTAATTATGGCTCTTAGGATAACAGTTTGTGGAAGTGTAGAAATCAAATAGAAAAGACTTTCTGGGAGGGAATTAGTGCGGGAGTGAAGAAGTAAAAGGTACCTCAGCAGAGGGGAAAAGTGAGGGCTGGACTGATGTGAGCATCAAGGTCAGGTGGTTGTCCTTTTCCTCAGCAGGGTGTGGCACAGAGATGACGAAGCAGCTAGTCACAGGCATGGCAGGAGATCCCGACTACGGAACAAACAAACAAAGAGGGAAAAAAAAGATTGGGGAGACTTGTGCCAAGGATATGATTCACTCCATTTTTGGTTACAGTCGATAACACCTGGGAGATTTCAGTGTGTGACTCACAGTGTTTAAAAAAAGGCAGAATGTGTACAAAATCAGACCTAGATTTGGGGAGAAAATAACAGCAAAACAAATTATGTGTTAAAATGATGCTGATAGAGTGATAGGAAAGCCATCATCCTTCCTAATGCTAATCTTAGTGTAGTCGTCCTTGTGGCTTCATCAGCATGGTGAATTAGTTATTCCCAGTGCTCTGAATGTGCTTTTCTGCTGTCTTGGATCAGAGCGAGGAGAGTGGCCAGTTAATAGCAGCCTATTGACACTGGACCATCTGTTTAGGTGGATGCTGTCCAGGGTAGCAGAAAGGAGGGGAGAGAGGGACAGAGGAAGTGACAGAAATAGAGAGAAAAGAGGGTGACGATTAATGGGGTAACATGAAGAGGAAGTGTCAGCTAACTGTTAGTCTGAACGCATGTTTATGGAAAACAGGAAGATAGGGAATATGCAGAGAGACTCACACTTATCAGGGATGTGGTCTAAAATATTGTTTACATGTTTTAAATTAACACATTTCCACTTTTTTTTCCTATCATCAGTCGCAGGGTATGTGAGAGTATCATCAACGGCATCAATGTTGTGCTATCTTGGCTTCAGTTCCATTTTTTCCTTCTCCCTCAGAAAAGGGCTGCCGACTTGCCACATCCCCGTTCTGTAAAGGCGGCGTTCTCTGGGGACGGCTGGTCCGGCAGAGCCCGGAGGGGGAGCTGTCAGTTGAATCATCCAGAGTGAGGGCTGATTCCTCAGTCAGCTGCCTCTCAAGCCTTCCTCTATGACCAAGCCCCTCTCCCATGAGCCCCCTGATTGCTGTCACCATAGTGATTCTCTGTGTACTGCCGTCTGGTCCATCCATATTCCCCCTGATGCACTGCATTTCACAACCACTGGTCACCAGCTCCCTAGCACTCATGTTTTGATGGACTTAATGTGTGTAGGTTCTAAGCTGAATAGAACAAAGGGGTTTCCCTCTGCTTGCCAGGATACAAATACAAAAAAATAGGTCTACCTTCTTCTTCTTCTTGTACATGCACCTAGCTTCAGGCTTTAAATATAAGCAAGATACTCTTTGTTCTTTGTCTCTTTTTCACTTATGTTTTTGGGCTACAACTTTTGACTTTTTTGATCATTTTACAGTTGAGAAGAAAATCCGAGAGAATGAAACACTAGGTGTAAAAATACCTTTGCGTTGCCAAAGTTTCTCTTCCCCCTGAGGGAGTTTCTGATATGTTCTGCAATAGATTGTGATAGTGCTGTGTGTGTGTCTGTCCTCCAATCACAGACCGCACATGCTTAAAATAGCCCTGAAGTTACTGTAGGTTCTGTATTAATCCCTGACAGGTATATCTACATGTGAAGCACATCCGTGTGAGCAGAAATCATTGGAGGTCAAACATGTTTTGATAAGCATGTGAAAATGTGTTCTCCTGAGAGATAATTAAAATTTGAGACACCGCAGCGTGGACTGTTCTTTTCTTTTATGTTATTCTGCTTTTCCGGTGGAAGTTGTGTTCATTAAATCGTTGCTGCACCTTACAGACATCATGACAGGAAACATACCACATGCATGCTGAGATGCTTCGGTAGAGAGAAAAGAGTTATTTCTAAATGTGTTGCTATTTTTTTCTTCCTTAGGCATATATTATCAAAGAGGACAGGCAGATATAAAGTATGAAGTTTTAAAAAAGGGAGAAAAGCAATGAAGTTAAATTAAGAATCAAAGAGTGCTCGGCTATAATAATCTTTATATATTTTAACATTTAAAAGAAAAAACTTAAGAAATAATAGAAGAGTAAGCCTATATGAAAATTTACCTTGCTTTTGAAATTTAAAGACAAGCTTCATTGAGCAGAGTGTTGTACAAATGACCATATGTCATGACTACATTTATGAACAAATATCTCAATAACAATTTTGGGCAACTGTCTCCATCATGACATATATATATATATACTTCCTGTTTCAATACTAATATCATGGCAAACCATGTCCTCACTCATAATTTGAGCATGTTTTGTGATTGTCAGCCATAAGATGAGTTCATGAACAGCATCCCAAGTGCAAATATTTTGTATACCCCTATACAGTCTCTCCATTTCATAAGAGCCAAGAAACAAGGGACACATGTAGCAGATTTAATTCATTCTACTCATGCTCCATAATTCAATTTCAATCTGCCCCTTGAAAATGAATGATTGTACCACCATAGAGCTCTTTAATTGGCATAGTGTTAAAGGAATGACATAGCATGGAGGACAGCTATTCAATTTTCAATTTTAAGGAAATATTACACAGCAGCTCTGTATTCTCTTCCTGTCATCTGAGAAATAATCAGTCCAACCTATCTACTCAGTGGCCTGTTGATGCTTGCCATCAAACACAGATCACACACGGAGAGAAAAATCATTGCCCTCTCCGTGGTCTTATTCATTTGGTCCTGTTACACACAGTTTATAACCTGAAAATTAGCAGCAGCCTGTATGCTTCTTGCTCCTGGAGTTGTGTGGCTGCTCATTTGATGTACTTAATCAGGTGCAGCCTTTGTAATGGGAAAGGAATAGGGCCAGGCTTGATTGGCCTTGATGACATCTATGCTCCAATTGTCTAGAAAACCTCCAGCTTTAATCAATCTACAGGATAATTCTGAATCCATTGCTACTGCCAATGATTAGCTTTTTTTCTCTGAAAATACCTTCAAAAATCTAGGTCTAGCTACAATAAGACTGAGACACACCATGAACTGATGTCATTTTACAGTATCATGATGGTTAGTCGTTTCTAGTTTAGTGCTGAATGTGAAACCTTTATATATTATGCAAAAGAGAGCAATAAGGATTGTTAACAAGGTAGGATTCTCTCATCATACTAATGAACTGTTTCTGAAGTTAAGAGTATCAAAATTAGCTGATCTACTTGAATTTAGAACTGCACAGATAATGTACAAAGCAAGCAACAATCTTCTCCCTAGTAATATACAGAAAATGTTTGGTGGAAGAGAGGGAAGGTATTAAGAGGGGAATGAAATTTAAAACAACCAGGCGTTAGTGCAACACTAAAAAGCACGTGTCTTTCTGTTGTGAAACTTAAACAAAACTTAAACAAAGCAAAACAATAGCACAGTTTAAAAGTAAATTAAAGCAGAGTATGATTGAAGTGATTTTCCTTTTGCCACATTTATTATATTGTACATGGGTATGGTACAAATGAGAGATTTGAAGTTTTCTAGGTATATATGGTATATATTTGTAAAGTGTATATTTGTGTGTATATACACGTATATAGGTATGGGTGTATATATGTATATATAAGGTCTTTGTTTCAGTATTAATGATTTGTTACATATTCATATTTAACTTATGAGCTTTGGTTACGTTTTGGTGTCCTTATAAATCCTAAAATTCTAGAGACATGTAAAAGGTCAATGAATAGGAAGGAATGAGGGTAGGTACGAGTAAGCTTAATAGCTTCTACCTATTCCTTTTTGATCTAAAAAAAGGGAATTTCTTGTCTAAAATTGTACTGTATGTATATTTGATAAAATAAACAATATCTCTCCATTAAAAGGCCAAATGTATACCTTTTTGAATACTGGCATATCAAGTTTTTCTGCATTTCTTCTTTCTTTCTTTTTTTTTTAACATATGTTTTGTAACTTGGGTTTTCCTTAGAATTAGGTAACTGGGAATTGAGGATCATACAGAAATTAACGTAATCGATCCATTTCCATTACATTGTTTACTTTGGCAAATATAGCTTGAACTGAACACCATAAAGATCAAAACCCTATCAATATCCACGTCTGTTGTTTTAATGTCATTCGAGTGCTTGTAAATTTGCCACTAAACTTTGCAAATTGAACTTACCTACAGATTTACGGAAGCCGTGTGTGTCTGCAGCCGCGTGCTGATAGGGATGACAGCAGCTCTCCCTCTTCCTCCTGCTCCGTTGCCCTGGCAACACAGAGAGAGCGTCGACTGCTCTGTAACCGAATGGAGAGGAAGATGGAGGAGAACCCTGTGAGAGACGTCGAGACTGGTGTGTAAATAAGAACCTTACCTCGCTTCCTCTTCATTGTTAAATAAGCGAAGGAAGTTAATAAAGGCCAAGTTGTTTGACAAATAATAGCTGCTTGTTCTGGGCACGCTGCGTGCCTGTATTTTGGCGCTAACATGCTGTGTGCTAACATTAAGCTAGTAGGTACAAGATGTAAACAAGAGTCTTGTCACCAGATTGTTATTAGCTAGCTTCGCTGCTACAGACGTCCGCCAACGATATAATTAACAACACTTGCGCAACGCATCTCACGGACAGACTGAAGACATTTGCTGGCATGTTATTTTTGATAACTTCGATATAACACAATTAAAGGTGCATTGTTTCGGGTATCTGCTAACGTAGGTTAGCTGTGTAGGTAGGAATAATGAGGGACAGCTCGAGTGAACCGCTCCGTGGCTAATTAGCAAACGAGTGCAGGTGTTGTGTCGAAATGTGTTCCCCTGTCAATCAATGGTTTCCGTCGCCGTACACTTCCAGGTTATAAATGGGGCAAAGCAAAGCGTGTGGTTGTTGGACGTATAGTTGGTCACTCTGAACGAGAAACAGACTGAGACACAACACCTGTATTTGACGAATATCTTCTGTGAATGTGGCTCGTGTCCCGCAAATTTAAAACACAGTCAACAGCTTTTTCCCTGATAAACTGAGTTTGAGCGAAAAAGGAATTTTCTACGGAGCGAAAAGTAATCGACGGATCTGTGGACACGGGAATCAAAATGTTGTTTGTGATCCTCTGTAGTCATTCAGAGACTTATTTACATTTTCAGTTACTGGCATGCATGTGAGTTATCTTAAACCCCCCTCCCCTCTCTTTTCTATGTACTCCAAACTAGACGCCAGCCTCTTTAAAAAAGTTAAGTTGTCTTAAGCTGGATGTTTGTACTGCATAAAAAGCAATTAAAGTGCAGGTATGAAGCAAGTCTTAATAGTAAAGGGGGGGCTCTTTCATCAGCATTTTTTTTCTTTTCACTGTGCTGAACTGTTTGATTTTTTCCAATGACACAAAGTTACAGTGAGAGTGGATCTCATGTGCTTGTACTTACATAACACATATTTTTTCCAGGCAGTGAAACTGGAGGAGAGGATGCCTTAGTGGGGAATGTGAACAAACTCATGGTGAGTCCACCGGGTTACTCTGGAGCACCAAGGAGAGGACATCTGGTTTTTGATGCTTGCTTTGAGAGTGGTAAGTAGTAAACTTAAAAAACCTCAAACCACACCTGAGGTAAAAAAGTGGTGATCTGTGACATTGATTTCGTTGTTCAGTCCTATTCTTGCTGTGTTAGTGAAGCTTTAATGCTAGATTTTTTTTGGTCATTCTGAGTTAAGAGTTGATAGACACCCACTTAAGAATTAGATAGTTTATGCTGGACTGGTCTGTGTTTGCGATTTTAGTTACAAAATCCAGTCACCACATAGAGACACTCTTATAAATTAAGGTAAGATAAGATAATGATTTCTTTATCACCAGAGAGGGATATTTGTTAGTTGCTGCAACTTAAACAAGCCAGTAAGTAAGACAAACATAAGAGTAAGAGTGAAAAAATTGAATTCCCAAAAATAACTAAACAAAAGTAGAGTTTAAAAATAGTTAAGATAAAACAAGTAGTGTACAATTGTTATTGACATGATTCGACTATAGCTGATAAAGCTAAAAGCTGTGGACAAAGTGACATTGCATGATACTTTAAGAATTATAAGGTGTTTGCATAACTTTTGATATACTTATGCAGCAGTATCATGACATGTGTGTTCTGTCAAATCTATGGCTCAGGTGCAGAAAGGCTGACTAAGCGGTCCCATGTCTTTGTCCATTCCAAATTCAAATACTTTGCCCTATGTCAGACAATACCTAGA